TTTCTTGGCTTTTCGGTTATCGGGACGGCCAAACTCCCTATCTCTCCACAGCTCAAAGGGCGTGACCGACTCTACCGCCTTTTTCCTCGTCTTCTTCAATATCTCGTTTTCCCGATCGGTCCGCCAGCCTGCATCCAGGACGTTTATATTCTCAGTCTCAAGCGCTGCTTGCAGCACAACGACCTCTTTCTTGAACGCGTCGTTGATCACGTCCAATCGAGCGATCTCCTCCTCGTCAGCTGCGATCATTTGCAGAAGCCTGATATTTTCGGCCCGGAGCTTTGCGTTTTCCAGTTCAGACTCGGGTAGTGTCGTCATATTATCCTTCGAGCCATCAAACTGGCTCATCGCCACGGCGTCCACCTCTTCCGCCCCCGACCTCGCCGTCTCCGGACTCGGCTGATTCCCATCCGGACCATGGCCCTCTCCTTTCCCAATCTCCCGAACAAGCGTGGCCGCTGTGTCTGTGGTCTTTTTGCGCTTTAGGTGTCTGGGATTCTGACCACGGTCTTTGTACTGTGGTCGGTCTGGCTTTTTGGTTGAAGCAGTGGGCGGCCGTAGAAGGGCAATGGCATTATCTCTCTCGTTTCTGCCGTCCCAGCGCTGGGTCGGATAGTGGGGGTGGGCAACAAAATCAAACCTCGGTTGAGTTGGCGACTTGTAGTTTCTGGTGGTATCAATGCCTTCGCTCATTTGGAGACCGACAAGGTTGTGGAGGGCCCTGATTTGACGGCGGCGGAGGGCGATACTGGTATGCTCCGGGTAGACTTGTAAGGGCAGCCCCTGCCAGCCATAACACCGGTAGTGTACCCGACTGACCACGTTGAGGAGCGCGAAGAGGCCGCTGTCCCAGTGGCTCTCGGAAGCAGAAGGTCGAGTTTTGACAAGGTTAGGCCGGAGGCTCTTGCCGAACGCAATCTCGTTATGACCGAGCCACGCTTTCATGGCCTCATCGGCTTCCTCCAGCCGCGTCGAGAGCCGGTCGCCTTGAAATGTAACATCAGAGTCGTAGAGGGCATGTCCATGTTCAGGATGTCGAAACATGACGGCCCAGTGCTTGGTCTTTTCCCAGTAAACAAAATGAATTGTTGATTCCGCCTTTTTGAATCTCGCCTCGTGTTCAGCACGGGAATAATAGAATCCGTCATTTCGATCTCTGGACTCTCCCAACCGTACCAAAGGGGGAGCGGCCTTCCCAGGCTCGGGGACGACCAGCACATACGGGGTGGGAAGCACGAACCAAAGCCCTCGAGAGTAACTTTGGAGTCCGGTTCGCACATGGGCCTGCAGAGAAGCCAGCTGCCTCAGAGCCAGCGGCACAATCCCTTCCTTTTGGATGGCCTGACCATTCCTTATATCTCTCAGCGCCTGCTCGTAATGTCGAAAGGCATTGAATGTGTCTTTTGTCATCCGTTCGTTCCCCGGATAGGTATGGGGGGGTAACTTGCTATGGATTTCGGTGGGAAACATCGCAACCTCAGGCAGGTCGAGAAGCCGATCGAAGAGTCTGTATATGCCATCTGAGCCCGGCGCCGTTGCAGGCACATCCTTGTCCACGACCAATACAGGCTGACGGGCGTCTCTCAGTTGCTTGATGATTCTGTCCCCTCCCAGATTCAGATAGTCAGTATTGTTGGGTCCCTGGTACTTGTGTTCCCTGTGCTTCCGTTTAGGCGCATCTCTCCGGCCACCTCCACCATTTCGTCCACCGCCTCCACCGCCTGGACCGTCCGAGTTGTCGTCTGAACTGTCTGGATTGCCCGAAGTCCAGCTCTCTCTGTTTGCATTCTCGGCTGCCTGTCTATCGGTCTTCTGCTTCTCGGCCTTCTGCTTCTCGGCCTTCTGCTTCTCGGCCTTCTGCTTCTCGGCCGCCTCCCTCTCGGCTGCCTGCTTCTCAGTTGCCTGCTTCTCAGTTGCCTGCTTCTCGGCCTCCTGCTTCTCGGCCTCTTTCCTTGCGGCTTCCTTCCTTTTGGCCTCCTTCCTCTTGACTTCCTCGGTTTCATTGCTATTACTTGTTACCGTCGTCTCGTTCCACTTTGCTCCCCACGCTTTTAACTTGTTCGGCCACTCGGCTACGACCTGGTTAGCCGGCGCTCTTTTCCTCTCGTCGGTTTCCGTCCGTAAAGTACTCTGCGCCTCATCGTATATACGCATCATGTCATCCCACTCCTTCTTCTTCTGCTCGTCTTTGTCTCTCTCCGCTTGCTCCCTCCTCTTCTGCTCATCTTCCTTCTTCCTTTTTTCCTTCTCTGCCCTCTGCTTACACTCTTCATCTTCAGGGTCTACTCGGTTCAACAGGACCGGTGTCTGACGATACGTCTTGCCTTTAGTGTTCTCGGTGTTGTAATCCGCTAGGTTGTTCTTGTTGACTTTGAGTGCCATGATGTTGTGGAGAATTTTCATCATAGTCTGTACCATCTCGCTGTTCGATTTGCCTCTCAGATGCGGTATCATGTCCCAACCCCAACACCCATATCGGATAAAAGCCAAGATATTCAAGATACACTGGAGGGAACAGCTCCAGTTATCGCTTTGTGTCGAAATGTCCCTGTCGAGGAATATCAGGGCAGGGCCAGGAGATTTGGGCTTCTCTCCGTCATATGACACGTTTTTAACCCGCTGTGTGTCTTGTGGGCAGTTGATCTCGAGCCACTTCACAAACGCTTTTTTGGCATATTTTTGTCCTGGCTCCTGTAAATTCAAAGGTAGTGGGGACGAATCGAAGAAAAATGCGGTCCAGTTCTTCGTCGCATCTTTTGGCTTGTGGAGGATGAAGGCCATCCAATGAGCCTTGTTTCGGTTGGCGAAGTGGGCTGTAAATTTGGCCTGTTTGAACCTCTCCACCACATTCTCATATTGGAAGCGCAAATCTGCGTCTATCAGCCTGCTCAAGTAGGGCTGCGCCTCGTCTATGGCCTGTTGAGCCTGAGCCTCTGAATGATCCACTGGGCTCGGAACCATCACACTCGCCTCATTGGGGCAAATATACCATGCTGCGGGTTTGCGGCTTGTCGGCTTCCCCGTTCCTGGACCTAGGCGGGCGTTTCTATCCCTCTGCGCCAAGTGCAACAGCCTGACTGTCAATGCATACAAGTGTTCGCCATGCAGATATTCTCCCCTTCGTCCCAGAACAAGACCGTCGTGGCACTTCTTTAGAATATCGGCGGTGTACAGTTCGTCCACATCATGGTAGAGGTCTCTGTTTGCTGCCGGAATTTCGTCGAGATTTGGGTCAAAAACGGTCCTGTATGCGTCAAACATGGCGTTGATGACGTCGGCGTCTTCGTTGCCATTGTTGGCGAAGATGTCATCGCTTTGCTTGTTGTAGACGCCTTGTGTTGCTTCGCGCAATTGCAAATTCGCATACGGATAATCCCGCCACTTCTTCGAGTCACCCGGCACCGGGTCCCCGAAATCGTCGAGGATATGCCGGGGAAGCTCCTTCGCTGCCATTTTGAACGCGACGCAGACGCAATATCGGCGCTGCAGCAACGAATGATGGACGATTGGTCAAGACTGGCCATCCACCTTGTACCTCGTCGTGGTGTTGCTTCCTTTTCTCCATGTTGGCCTTCTTTGCTCGAGGTCCAACACAAAGGGCGTTGTATCCTTTGTCTGTGGCCGTATCCCCTATTCCAGAACAGTTGTGTTCTTTGTCCTGGATGGCATGCCACTGGAGCTGCCGCATGCGGATCTGGCCATTCTCGCTCGCGGCGAGGGGTGGCTAAACAATGGCATCGAAGCAGCATGGTGTTTTTTGGGTGCAGACGGTTGCCATGACCTCATGCCGCGGCCCCCGTGTGCGGAAGAAGTGCGTGAAGGTGGTGGGGGGTTTTGGGGGGAGCAGTCGGCACTTTGTCTGGCCAATCAAGCATGGCCGGTCGCGAGCCAGGCAATCAAGCTCTGAATTAGCCCACCTCCCCTGGAGACAGTCCAGACTCCCATCAGAGGCAGAGGTCGAGATAAGGTTGAAGCATGGGGGGATGGAGGGGGAGGACGGGAAAAGCGGAGAAGTGTGGGTTGGGGTCTGGAACAGGGGACGGCACGTACCTGGGGCGCGGGAAGGATTCCCCTCCCGGCCGTAAGGCAGGCCAAGGCAGGCCAAGGCAGGGAGCACATCGCACATCATGACAACGGCGTCTATGCCAATTGGTTAGAACTGCATTGGCGGCGATCTGTGGACTGTTGGCCTGTGGCCTGTGGACATGGCGGGGAACGGTGACAGCCGAAAGGCTTGTTCAAGGAGTGACAGGGCGCTACCGAAGCTTAGCTTGGACACTGGAGAATTTAGAATGGAGATTACGGATGGCCACAGTTAAGGGGGCACGGAGGATCTACTATCTCAACCGGCGCTCGCAAGAGAAAGGAGAAATGGGCAACGGCGGCAGCAATATCGGACGACCGGTTAATTTAGAGTTTGTCGCCATCCATGCCCCGACCGTGATACCGCAGAAATATGGCAGAGATACGGCAGAGATACGTATCTCTACGTCTCTACGCAGAGGAGATAGAGAAAGAGATTACGCGACCATATGAGTGAGTTTCCATTCCCCTATAAGCCCCCCTCGTCCCTTCTGTCTCCGACATTCTTCAGGTTCCAGGCGACAACTTGCTCTTGCTCTCCCTTGCTCCTGCCACAAGTACCTTCTTCCCCTGCTCCCTTCCTTCCTTCCTTCCTTCCCATTTTAGGTTGCGTCCTTGCTTCCTTCCGCCGGCGCTCACGAGGTCTCTCTGGCCGACTCCGGTTACGGAACCCTCTCCTCACCCTCTCTCTGGCTCTCCACTCTCCCCTCTAAGCTCCTTACCTCACTCATTCCCGTCAGTTCCACCTTTTCACCTCACCTCTACACGCCATCACAACCTACCCCCGGCCCTCGTACCGACGACGGTTGTGCCTCGTCTCCTTCGACTACTCCTCCGTCCTAGACATCTTTACCTAGCCTCATCTTCTCGTCTTTGCCTGGTCCACCAATCTACTCAGCGTCGGGTATCTGCCTGCCATGACGGCCGCCAACGACATGTCCGAGGCCAAGGAGCCTGTCACGTTCGCTACCACTGTTGAGGGCGAAAAGATCAAGCTCTCCGACACCAACTCTTCCGAACAGCTTCCCGCGAGCCTGAAGGAGACGGGGCGCGAGTTTAATGTGACCGAGTCCGATCTCCTTGAGGCTAAGCACCTGGCTGCCACCTTCACGCTGGACAAGACTATCGCTGTAAGTCGCAAGTCGCACGCCCACTCTCCAGTTCACGCCGTGGCTTGTACTGACCGCGTGCTCTCAGATGATGAAAAAGGTGCACAAGCAACACGCCAGCGACCCCAATTTCCCCATCGAGATCATCAACCACATTGACGAGTTCCTTGGTTCGTGACGGCCTCTTTCCTTACCCTACCTGGCCTGCCACTCAGTCACTGACCCCGGGACAGGGCACGAGGCCGACTTGGTCGCCAATCCCCAAAAGTATGAGCATCTCATTGAAGAGATGAAGATTGAGGCCGCTCTCATGACCAACAATTCACCCTATACTGAAGTGCGAGCAGTCGTGGACAACCATGATGACCCATCGCTACCCGTATCAACCATCCGTGCCTGGGGCATAGGTGTCTTGTTTGCTATCTGCATCTCCTCCATCAACTCCTTCTTCGACATTCGTCTCCCGGCTGTTAGTATCAGCGGAACCGTCGTCCAGCTGCTGGCCTACCCCTTTGGCACCTTCTTGGCACGCGTGCTCCCCGACAAGGGAATCACCCTCTTCGGCGTTCGTCACAGCCTGAATCCAGGACCTTTCAACAAGAAGGAGCACATGCTTATCACCATCATGGCCAGCGTCGCCAAGAGCGTTCCTTATACCAACTACATTGCTTGGATTCAGGTTCTCCCCCAATACTTCGGACAGGAATGGGCCCGCAGCATCGCCTACCAGCTCCTCATTGGCCTCTCGACCAACTTCATCGGGTACGGGCTGGCCGGAATCTGCCGCCGTTTTCTGGTCTACCCTGCTTTCTGCGTCTGGCCAACATCTTTGGTGACCATCGCGCTCAACTCTGCGTTCCACGACAAGGAGTTGGAGAAGACGACCATCGAGGGCCCGTTCAAGACTCGCTGGACCGTGTCCCGAATGAAGTATTTCTGTTGGCTTTGCGGGGCCATGTTTGCCTACTTCTGGCTTCCCAACTACCTTTGCGGCGCCCTGACTTACTTCAGCTGGATGACCTGGATCTCGCCACAAAATGTTCATCTGGCCAGCATCACGGGTGGCCAGACAGGCCTCGGGCTGAACCCGCTGCCAAGCTTGGACTGGAACGTCTTTGCGCTTGATCCTTTGATGGTGCCCTTCTTCTCTACCTTCAATTACTTCTTCGGGGCATTCCTGTCCATGTTCGTCATCATTGGCCTTTACTACACCAACACCTACTACACGGCCTACCTCCCCATCAACTCAAACAGGCCTTTCGACCACTTCGGCCACATTTACAAAGTCAGATCTATCGTGGATGACAATGGACTCTTTGACGCCAAGAAGTATGAAGCATACTCGCCTCCTTACCTGGCTGCAAGCAACGTGGTCGTGTACACGTTCTTTTTCGCCTTGTACGCTGCGACGGTGACTTATGCCGCTCTCTACCACCGTCTGGAGATAAAGCTCGGCCTGAATGAGTTGTGGCAGAGAGCCAAGTTCAGCATGCGAAGGTTGAGGTCCAAAAATGCACGCGGCGAAGAGTCGACCGAAGAGGATGTGGACCTTCTTGATATCCATAATCGGCTCATGCGCGCCTACCCCGAAGTCCCACAATGGTGGTATATGACGTGCTTGGCCTTTGCCATCGCCGTCGGTATGGTTGGCGTCTCCTTGTGGCCGACGAACACGACACCATTTGTGGTGTTGTACGGCATCGCCCTATGTCTAGTCTTCGTCGTCCCTATTGGTATCATTGCGGGCATGACTGGTGTGGAGGTCACGCTGAACGTCATCGCGGAATTCATCGGTGGTGTGTGGATGGAGGGCAACGCGATTGGCATGTGCTTTTTCAAGTCGTACGGATATGTCACCTGCGCCCACGCTATAGCGTTCAGCAGTGATCTGAAGCTTGCCCACTACGTCAAGATTCCACCCCGGTTTACCTTTTGTGCCCAGATGGTCCCTACGCTGGTTTCGACTTTGATCAGCGTCGCGATTATGCAATACCAAACCCGCATCGAGAATGTGTGCACTCCGGATGCACCATTCCGCTTCCTCTGCCCAGGTGTCAACACGTTCTTCACGGCAGCTGTCTTCTGGGGCACGGTCGGTCCACGAAAGATTTGGGGTGTCGGTGGCCAGTATTCGATGACGTTGCTGGGATTCCCGTTTGGCTTCCTTGCGGTCATGTTGTTTTGGTACTTGAACAAGAAGTGGCCCAAGAGCGTCATACTCCGCAATGTCCACCCAGTGGTCATGATGAGCGGTGCCCTGAACTGGGCGCCGCTCAACTTGGCCTACATGTGGCCTGCTGTCCCGGTGGGTGCATTTTCGTGGTTGTTTGTGAAGAAGCGTTACTTGGCCTTCTGGTCAAAGGTATGTTGCCAAGAGCCCAAGGTATATTGAAAGTTGCAGGGTCGCTGACACTGAAGCGTGAACAGTACAATTATGTGACTTCGGCTGCGTTTGGTTGCGGCATTGCTATTAGCGGTGTCGTAACCTTCTTCGCAGTGCAGCTGTGGGGCTTCCAGGTGAACTGGTGGGGAAACGATGTGTTGAATACCGGTTGCGACGCCGAAGGGACTTGTACTCTGCTGAATTTGACCGACAGCGAGTACTTTGGTCCAAGATTGGGCGAGTTCAGCTGAGAGTCGAGAGAGCCAGATGCCGACAGGACGGGGCGGATTCGCCCTTCTCTTTTTGTTTTGTTCATGAACGCAATGCAATGGCTTACGGTTACAACAAGGCGGGACCTTTGAATTCTCTGGGCGCACATTTGCGGTTTTCGCGAAGCGGACATTCGAGTTGATGGCGAGCAGGGCAGTGTATGATGAGATGGAACCCGAATCAAATAACTTTTATCATATTCCTATCAGACTCATGTGGAGAAATGGACAAGGAAGCTTACGACATGCATGATGGGTGCAAAACTTGGCTTATTTACCGACGTGTGCCATCGTGTGGCTGTTGTTGTTTGAATAAGAATTGAGGCGACACTGTGTCTGAGTAGTACAGCAACAGCTAATCTTGATGTCTAGACTACAAGTGACCAGACAAGCTTCACGCCTGGGCACCACGCCTGGGCCGTTTCCTGCTCGGCTCCTCGGCGTTGGCACCCGTGCTCTCTCTCGGCCCCCTCCTGTTGCCGTCCGCCCTGCTCCCATTATTGCCTCCACTCACCCCTTGCGGCCTGGGATCAGCCACCTTGCCTCTCTGCATCCTCCCCGGGCCACCCTGGGCCCTCCCCCCTCCCGTCCTTCCGCTCGGCACCGGAGCAGCTCTGCTCACCCCCCCCTTGCCCATGATCCTCAACCCGGGCACGCCCTTGAGCCCCATCTTGCCCACCATCTTGGCCTCCACTTCTGGGATCTCCTCGTACCCCATCGCATAGGCAAACTCGTTGGCCAAACCGACAATCTCTGGCGGCTGGAGGCCCAGCTGTCTCGCCACGGTGATGTTGAAGCCGAGGAAGGCGGTATAAGCTTGGAATTTCGTCAACTCCGGCACCTTGGCGAGAGCTTCCTCAATCTTGGTAACCGATTTTGGCAGGTCGGGGTGGTTGCTTTGAAGAAGTATTTAGTAAAGAAGAAGGGGACAGGGGAGATGGGGGGGAGAAACATACAATGGCTCAGTAACCTTGATGGGAAAGTCCTTATTCGCTCTCACAAACCTCATCTCCTGGGGCGTCAAAATCATGGTTGCTTCTCCCGACTTGCCTGCTCTTCCCGTTCTCCCAACACGATGGACGTATTGTGCTTTTTCGGGAGGGAAGCCCATCTGGATGACTAGGTCAATGTCAGGGAAGTCCATGCCACGTCCAATGACATCAGATGCAAACATGAGGCCTGATTCGGCGTTCTTGAACTCTTCGATTGTTCGTGTACGTGCTGGTTGGGAAAGACGGGAGTGCATCTGGAAGCAGGAGAGGCCTTTGGGGGCGGCGCCGCCGGTGGGACCAAAGATGTGGTAGAGCAAAGCGGCGTGGCGGGCGGTGCCGCAGAAGATGACGGCTTTGAGCTCGGGGTTGGTTTTCTTTTGTGTCATGAGGTAGGAGTGCAAGACGGGAAGGGCGTCGGCGATGGAGGGGATGGGGATGGCGGATTGGGGGATTCTGTCGACGGTAGGGGTCTCATTGGGGTCGATGGTGGAAATGCGGTCGTGCTTCTTGTTGAGGACCAAGGGCAGGAACTGCTGAATCTCGTCTGGGACGGTAGCAGAGAAGCACATGCCTTGCCAGCCAGCAGTTTGCTTCTTGGGGATTTGTTGCAAGATTCTCTTGATGGAGGGGGCAAACCCCTGGTCGAGCATGCGGTCTGCCTCGTCAAGGACCACGCAGCGGAGCTTGGTGAGTTTGTGTCTGGTTTCTTCTTCGGAGAGGTAGTCGATGAGGCGGCCGGGGGTGGCGACGAGGATGGTGGGTTTGCCATTGAGGAACCTCCGAAGGAGCGAGTTCTTGGAGGTGCCGCCTACGGCAATGTGGCACTCGAAAGACTTTCCGGTGAGCTTGTCACACTCATCGGCAATCTGCTGGGCCAGCTCGCGGGTGGGGGCGAGGACGAGGATTGCAACGAACTCGCGCTGCAGGTCTGGGGCGGTCATGATGTTTTGGAGGGCGGGGAGCAGGAAAGCGATTGTCTTGCCGGTTCCGGTCTTGGCTTGTACGAGGCAGTCGTTCTTGAGGCTGGACATCTGCAGGACCTTTTCTTGCACTGGGGACATGTGTGTAAGGCCCATCTTCTCGATATTTTGGAGGAGCTGGGGCGCAATGCGACCCTTGAGCTGTGAGAAAGGGACGCGCTCGCTGCCGGCAGCCACGGTGGGAATCTGGATCGAAGCCATCTCGGCGGTTGCGGTCGCGGATGCGGTGCGCAAGGGGGAGAATGTAGAGAACGAGACTCTGGTACGACCAATATGTGTGGCGAAGGAAGAGAGTAGTATATTTTGCTGAGCGGTCTGGCGGAGCGTGAGGTTAAGAAGAGTGGGCAGCGCGCTTTGTGAGACACGAGCTGTGGGAAAGAACATTTGCCGCTGGGAAGCACACAATGAGAAGCGACCGTTGGGTAGGTGGCTTTGTGGTGGTTGGTATGTGTGAAAGAAGGGAAGCACAGCAAACAATGGCAGGTGCAAGCGCAGTGAAGGACGGTGCTGCAAGAGACTGCGCTCAAATGCGACGGCCCAAACTTTCAACTTTCTTATCGGGCGTTTGGTTCGTCTAATTGGCTTTGGAGCACTGATGGTGGATCTCTTGGTAGCGATAAGAGTCAGGGTCCAGTGACGTCGAAACGACAGGGGTAATGGCTGACACTAACAGTTCTGCCTTTCCCTTGGCGCAACCTCTGTTAGCGCCTTGGTCCAGGGACCGTTTGGCGTCTCCACCGGTCCCTGACACATGCAACATGGGGTTTTTTTTTTTTTTTTTTTTTTTGGAAATCTCGATGCCTTGAAAATCCATTTTTGCCAAGACATGTCTTGGCCAAGGTCCACACACAGGACAACGTCTGCAAACATTATCGCCACTCAGTGCCTGTCACGATAGTCTTGAGGATTTCGGCAAAGCTTTTGACATTGTCAATATAATCCAGCCAGCTGAACCCCGTTGTCCTCTTTTTGTTTCTTTCATTTTTATCCCTTTCAGCTCCAGAGCCCGGACCCGTCCTAGGGCAGCGGCGGCTCCTGTGGTTTCCGTCCCCTCGCCGTCAAGTATTGCCGCGTAAGTGTCAACACTCTCCGTGATCAAAATGGCTCCTTGATCACCTAGAAGTAGTATCATGTCTCGCTGTCTAGCTATGCAATTTTGGTTATTTGAATCCTTCCATGCTGTCACAAACTGCAAACCATCATGTTTGAGTGCTCTCACCAAGGCTGCATTGCAACAACAGTCATCGTGTTATTAGAAGGTACGGTATAATATGGTGTATAGAAGTGTATAAATGACAACATGTTCCCTTCTTACCACCTCTATCTCCAGATCTACCACCATCGCAAAAGCTCGCTTTCTACACGGACCCCAAATTCGCCCCGCCACTCCCTTCGACGTATCCCCTTGCGGCATCCTCCTCGAGCAGGCCTTCTCCACCAACGTCATACTCAACCACATCTCCGACTAACAACTCAAAATCAACTTCTGGACCCAAGTCATCGCCTTCACCTTCTCAGACAATAACTCCCACCTCGCCATCGCCAAAGTCATCTCTCTGTCCCCTCCTGTAGTAGTCGGCCTAGCCAAGTGGGTCTTTGTCCTTGAGAACTCTACACTCCCGGGTTTATTCCCCTCCGACATGGACCTCCCTCGGGAAGTAATGGACCACATGACCGACCCCGACCTTGGTATGGCGTTCTTTAGTGACCAGCATGCCCGGCATCAGAAGTACATGGGCAGCAAAGCCCACTGGTATCTGGCTCTCATTGCTACCCGCCCTGAGTACAAAGGCTCTGGCGTTGGTCGGTTGTTGATGGAGTGGGGGGTTATGATGGTTGATGAGGGTAGCCATGAGGCGTATCTTGAGGCCTCGCCTGCGGGGAAACCGTTGTTTGAGAAGTACGGCTTCCATGTGGAAAAGGTAGCGGAATACTTGGAAGGGAGGTATGTCGAATGCTCCATGATCCGGGATGCCATGAAGACTGAGTAAGGTTGATTGGACCTGTTGTATCTTCTACATCTTTTCTCCCTTTCTAGTCAGTAGACGTAATCCTTTCATGGAACGCTTGTTTTGACGCCCAATACCGCGCCCTCTTCCCAAAAAAAAAACAACGATAATGTAGAGAACATCGCCAGCAACTGAATAATCCCAATCCAAATGTACACAATCTTCGAGCCGTCAGTCTGGATCCATCCAGTAATGAAGAGACTGAAGACCAAGCCGTGGAAAATGTTCTTGCTGAAGTTTAATGCGACAAGGGCCTCTCCGGCAAATTCTCGGTAACTATCCACACAGAAAGTGATGGCGGTCGTCGAACCCCTATCTCGCAGTAAATATTTTCTCCGCATCTTCATGAAGGCCAAACTCACAATGAATATCCAGAAGAAATAATCCCAAAAAACACCGTCGGAACAATCCAAGCATCTTGCACCTCAGCACTCCACCCAAAACCCACCAACCCAACTACCGTAGTGATGGTCACCGGCATCATCATCACCAGTCGAAACTCGGGCTCAAACACCCCTCCGTTTTTGCGAGCCATAGCTCTCACAATACATTCAACATCTTGCCTGTTATCGCCGTGCCTAGCACGCCACCAATAAATGCAGAAATATACACCAAGCCAGTCGAGAAAGCACCAAGTGATAACTGTTGGGGTTCCGGTAGATAACGTCCATCGACTCGGAGATAACCACCAGCCAGCCGATGCAACAAGAGTGGGTAATCGCTGACCAGAGGATGGCCGGGTAGGCAAACAGGAAGAACGGTCTAGCCGCCACACGTAACCAGCGTTCATCCTCTGGTAATCTGCCGTGCCACGGCAGTAGATGTGTCCTGAACGACCCGTTTGGTCGTGCCGCCATGCGACTGGTGTAATCGTTTCGTCTCGGGGGCGTCGCTTGATGTTCCGTTGCCCTCTTTTCCACATCCTGGTTCCCAGGCGTCTCGGATGACGATGAACAAGCTGCAGATATTGAGGTAGTGGCAGGATCGTTAGTCGTCTCGACCAGCTCAAACATCTCAACCGTCTCCCCAGACCATCTACTACCTTCCTGCTTTGATATACCCATCTCCCCCAAACCATCACGTCTGGAGCTCTCTTCACCACTCCCCTCCATCTTCTATCCCCCTCCTTCCCTCCCCCGTCCGCCCTCTCCCGTCGACTCCCTCTCCAAAAACGTCTCCAACCCCCTATCCCAAAACGTCTCCGGCACCAACTCCCACAACCCAACCCCACAAACCCCAACCCCCATCACCCAAAAACCCCACCTCCACCCCAAAGCATGAACAACCCCCGCCCCCATCACCGGCACCAAATTCTTCCCCCCCAACAAACAAAGCCCGTAAACCCCTATCCTACCGCCCCCCGCCCCCTCGTTCATGCAAAAAGAACAACTCCGTGATAGTCGCGCTCGGCAGCGCCTCCACAGGACTGATTGCCACCCCTTGCACAAACCGTGCAAGCAATAAACTCTCAAACGTCGGACTTAACACGCACCAGACACATGTCAGGAGAAAAATGAGGGAGCCGGCTAGGTAAACGGGACGTTTCCCGTAGAGATCGCCGTGGGGGAGGCGAGGAGACAGCCGATACCGATGCCGAGCATTACGAGGCCGGTAGTGAGGGAGATGCGGTGGAGGGGGAGGGAGAAGATTTGGGAGATGTTGGTGAAGCCTGCTGCGAGGAGGGGGGTTGTTCCACCGCCGAGGAGGGAGTAGAGACCTATTGTGAGGAGGGCGAGGTTGCGGCGCCAGGGGGGCCAGCTGAGGAGGTCATGGGGGAGGGGTTGAGGGGCTAGGAGGATGCCAGTGGAGGTGGTATTTGGGGGGTCATCGTCGCGTGGAGGAGAGGAGGTTTGGTTGGGTTCTTCGGGAGGGGAGGGGAGATTAAGGTCATCGAGTGAGTGTCGGGTTTTGGTTGGGGAGAGAGGCCGACGAGAAGGAGGACGGTGCCTAGATGGACGGTTGAGGGCGTCAGCATGCAACTGAGAAGACAGGGAGGATATCAAACCTGGAACGTCGACTGTGTCCTTTGGGTTGAGCACACCAAGGCTCCATCGTGGTATTCTTTCATTGGTTTCCGGTCGGTTCTCTAGATCGCTTCCATGCATCGTTGAGTGGTGTAGTAGCGCTGCAGCTAGTCGTCGCCTACGTCGAAAGGTCAAGAAAGCCACTGTAACTATCCTTTGGGCAGGGTGGTTGGTATGAATGATCTTGCTATTCCAAACATCACTCTCAGGTCAGTCTGAGCGCCGTGTTCCCGACCGAAGACGTAACAACACAACAGCCCAGGCAAAGGCGCAAGCTTTGATCGATGGGCGTAGCGGCGCAGGGTGGACGGTTATCAGTCAAACGGTCGCATTAGTCCAACTGCAGGGGAACAGTCGGCATGCCAGTCGGTCCCATTTTCTCTTTTTCACATGGAAGGAACAGTGGTTCAATGGTGACGGTTGCCGGTGCAGCTACCACTGGCGTGCCTTCATTCTGCAGCGAACCTGATTTGTGACGAAAGATGATGACAGGCTCACACCATGCCAATGACATCGCCCTTTTAGTCACGGCGATTTTACGGAAACATCGCTTCAATGACACTATGGGTATCTCCAATTCTATCTATACAGTCCCTCTCCGACGTCCACTCAAGCCCAAGCATTGGCCACCACACCCAGCTCTTGCCTCGCAGGATGAATCGCCGCCCCCAAGCTCGCCGCATGGAGAGGCAGATGCGACTCGGAATCAGTCAACGCATGCGTGGCCTTGGTCTGAATAGTTGTCGTGATGCGAATCTGCGACTCCGGGCACGACTTCTTCCCACTCCGGTCGGGAGACCCAGACAGCGAAATATGCTCCGTCCTCCCAATACTGCTCGTCATAAACCAACCCGTCTGCCTGAACAAGTTGCTGAATAGTAGTCTTATACCCGGTAAGCAAGCACAGATGATCCCCACGTTGATCTCCAACGACGCCCACATCGACACCTGGGCAAAGGTATACATTGGGTTGGGCTCCTCCACTGTGATGGCACCAGACCAGAACTTGAGGATGCTGAAGATGAGGATGCTCAGACCGGTGGCGAGCATGACCGAGATGCCGATTCGCTTCCTCACCGACAACTGCAGTTTGGCCACGTAGGGCAGTGGCAGGATGAGTGTCCAGGCGTCCAGTAACATGGTGAAGACGGAGGTGATCCATAGGGTCTGGAGGTTGTTCAGGCACTTGCCCTCCTGCGTCGAGTCCCATCGCATCCAGAAGAAACCGACGGGCATGCACTGGAGCGCCATGATGAGACCGATGGCGGTGGAGATGACAGCATTTGCTATCATGGTTCCTTTGATCATTGGCCTCGAGTTGCCCACCACGAAGATGCGAAGGAAGAAGAGGATTTGCGAGTGGCGCAGCAGCATGCGAGCTGCATGGAAGACGAGCATGCTCGCGTATACACCCTGTTATCCCTGGTAAGTGGAAGTCGTCGACGGCGATGTTTGGCAAGAATACTCACAGCAATAATGTAGTTGATCTCCTCTGGCGACAGAGACCAAAACTCTCGTCCGAAACCGTGACCTATCGCCTCGTAATGGATCGAAGCGTAGGCAAAGGAGCCAGCCTTCAGCACAGTCAGTTACCTCATTCCTCTTGACAGCCTCTCCATAACATACCATCGACAACGACAAAAAGATATCGTCCCACCAATACGTCTTGGTCGTGTAAAGCCGGTTGGCCACCCGCAGCACGACGGAAATGAAGGCAAGGATCATAAACGTCGTCATCACAGGCAGCCACTGCCTCTCCATCCTAGGTTCAATACCGCAGGCTCGCAAGGTCGCATTCTGAGTAAAGAGTGCTTCTGGAGTTGAGCAGTTGCTTTTCATGCAACCCGTCACCCAGTTGGTGGTCTCTAGAGGTTGAGGTGCGCAAAGATCAACATCTGTCGAGCCCTGGCCGGTGCTGGGTGCTCCCATCATGCAATCCATCTTGAGCAAGGTTATTAGCAAGAGACCAGTGAAGGATTGGATGTTGATGTATCATCATACAGCGCATTTCGGTAGCGTTGCGAGCACCGCCAATGACTGCTCTGTGGTGAGGGAGACCATCTTGGCGGGCGTCGCTCAGCAAGAGCTGAGTGGCACGACAAGAGAAATCGTTATCGTCAATGTCTTGGAAGGGTAGTGTAAACGTCGACTTGCTAGAATGTCGTCCTTTTCATCGTCCAGTTCCAAATATATCGCTCGGAATCTCAGTTGTCGCTATCCAGAAAGAAAGAAAAGGCAAAAAACCCCGTTCTTTCTTTGGATTCTAAGTCTTTTTCTCCCCCAGAACTGGAACACCATGAAAATGTGGGCGCCAAAGGGGTTTTGGACTTGTGAAGGATTGCTTCGCCATCTCGACGCATACCGGATGGTCAGCAACAACCAACAGCGTCAAGTCTTCCAGCTTGGGAAAACTGATGTGTTTATGCAGTGTTCCAATGCGGCGTGGTTACTAATGCTCAGGTAGGTGTGGTGGGGCCTTTGCTATACGCCCATAAACCTGGCTAACCCCCTTTTGTATTTTTTGGCACATGATGATTGGATAAATCTCATGAGTTGCCTGGGGGTGTAGGAGTGCGGCATGGGCGGTATACCCGGACGTGGCGCGCCATAGGGGGGATAAGGGGATAAGATGCTCAGCCCAGTTTGTGGGTTTGGGTGTGTGGCACAGCTTGGAGAGAGAATCTTTACCTTTTTGTTGAAGAGTGGTTCGCTTAAGGGGGTGAGATTTGGGAAAGCGGGTTGGATTTGGGTGGTGCTGTGCCACTTCAGCCGAAACTTGACCTTGGATGCCAAGTCAGACGGGAGGGGGGTGGTATGGGTGTTGATGGGCCGTTCCGGGGGCCGAAAAATGGAAGTTTGCTAGGTTTCGCCAAGCTGGCAGAGATGGGAAATGATCTTGCTGTGGAGATGATTCTAGCGTCAAAAAGAGTACATTTCATCTCAGGCAGTTCGGCCACCAAAACTGTCTTGAAGATGTAATTAACTTTTGGAGTACGCGACCACGCTCAGATATAGGGCTCATCCCAAGTTTCATGTTTTCCAATTCCCAGTCTGTAACAGCAGAACACATCACAAGTATCGGACCTAGAGCAGCAAACCCAACACAACAGCATCACGCCACGCTACAGGCAGGTCCATAGTGATATTCTCTGCGGAAAAGAGGCATATTCAGCACGTTGGTGCCTGCCCACGGCAAAGACAGGCTTCTGGATGATCCTTGCAGCGCGCGGCATCTGCCGTTCTGAAGACCTAGCTCCCTTTGTTGCTGTGCCACAATCACGTTCTCTGCGTCCTGAACCACAGCCCATGCTTAAACCTCCGTTGGTGAGTTTCGATGCTGACACACTCTCACACACACACACACACACACACACACACACACACACACACACACACCTACACCTGCCGATCGCAAAAATCAGGGACACAACCTCATTCGCCAAAGCAAAAAGTCTGAACATGGACACAAGAGCAAAGAATACATGCATTGGAAAGGCACCGGGTCATTACAGGGAAAGGACCAACAGATGCCTGTTGGTAAATGGATATGTTCAGTTGCAGACGGAATAGGTACTGAACACTGCAACGTATCTACCCAAGACCACGAATTTGAACGGTAATGACTATCTAGCGTTGAACGATGGCATCAGGCGCTGGAAAGATTCTCCTTAGCCCTCAGAATGTATTGAATGAGTGTTCAAAGTAGTAAAGAGCACCTTAAAGATAGCTGATAGGCCCATTGACTTGCTCTGGGGGCCCATGACCCAAGGATTATGCATACCGATATGCATCAGGCATTTCACAAATAGTCTCAAGGAGCCGTTGCTCTGGAAACAATACCCTCCTGGACTCCACAAAAGGGGCCTCCACGTACAACATGACCTAGAAGAATCACACAGCAGCAAGCTTCCCTATTCTTTTGGTGAAAACGTATATACCATTCTATTATTATTTTATATCAAAAGACTCGCTCAGACAGAAAAGAAAAAAGACTACAATTTGACACACAACCTAGTGCCCGTCTCAATCTGCTCCCACTTCTCGGTGCCAGGAGTGGAGACGGCATAGAAGACTCCCTCGGGGTCGTACTTGCGTCTGATCTGGAGCAGGCGCTGGTAGTTGGTACCCCAGAAAGCGTTCTGCCAGTCGGGCTGGAAGGGATCGGCCTGTGTGGTGAGCATGTTAGCATATGCCTGCTTGGTTGGAGACCGAAAATCAATACATACCTCGTTGATGTAGGAAGCGCCGTTGGGGGCAGCGGCACGGAGAGAGCCGTCGACAATGTTGGTCAAGCGGTTCTGGGCCTCGGCCTTGGCGGCGAGAGGGGCATCGCCAGAGACAGGAACGATGGTAATAAGCTTGTCAACAACGTTGCGGAAGCGGGGGTTGATGGCGGACTTGGCCCACTCGCTCTGAGGGAGGCCATGGCCAGCAGACCACATGTGGCCGACGATGAAAGAGCCAGCGTTCATAACGGTCTGGAAAGCGTCAATGATGGCGGTGTGGTTGTTGATAACATCCTGGCGACCAATGGTCCAACCACCGGTGAGGGCAGAGTTGCCAGCCATTTCAATCTCAAACATGGCGTTGTACAAGTCGTAAAAGGTGCCGTAAGTCTCGCTGGAGGTGGTATACCCAACACCGAGGGCATCAAGGTCATCAAAGAGGGGCTGGACAACAGCCTGCAGCTGGGCGAGGGTCTTGTTGACGCCCACAATAGGATGCACGTGGAGAGTGTTGGGGACGGGGCCGATTTCGTAGTAAACATAAAGGCCGTTGTCAACAAAATGGGTGCTGTAGCTGTGGAACTTGCGGACGGCCTCCCAGTAAAGAGCAGGATCGGAGTTGGTGCCGGGGTTGATATCGAGGTTGATGCCGGCGCTTGGGGTGTCGGCAAAGGTCTTGTAGGTAGCCTCGGTGATGACAGCAAAGGCGGCGGGACCACCTCCCTTGAGGGCCCAGAACAGGTCCGAGTTGGTGTTGGCATTGGCAGTTTGGATCTTGCCATCGGCCGTGATGACCTTGAACTGAACAGCCGTGTCGGCAAGGAATCCGTAGAAGTTGGTCAAGGGGCCATGGCCACCGCCCTGCACAAGGCCTCCGGCGACACCAACAGTCTAATGATACCGGTTAGTCCATGAACATCAAACGCTAAGAATTGGTAGTCCTTACAGCGCACTCGCCCGTCACCATAATTCGAGGAGGGGAAAGCGAGTTCAGGCGGGCAAGAGCCTCAAAGGCTTGCACACCCGCTCCCACAGTGATGGCGGGGCCGTTGTAGCCAGGGCCATTCCAGTTGTTGGTGGTGCTGATGCTCTTGAAGCTGTGAGTGTTGATAACAAGCGAGCCCCAGCCAACGCTGCGTCCAAGGAAGTCGTGTCCAGTGTTGCGAATGACGAGGCGCAAGTTGTTGTTTCTGGCGAAGTTGATACCCGCTTGGATGTGGGCAACGGTCTTGGCTGTGATGTACAGGACAGGATAGTAGCCCAGCGTGCAGCTGCCTGTGGGATCAGCGGTAGGGCGGCAGGTGTCATTGGTGAAGTAGGTCCAGAGGCCAGCGGTGGGCAGCTCGATTCTGTCACAGATGGTCAGTCAACATGTTCTCCTCATGCTTGGTGTGCAGAGATGACTTACTGGAACTGTTCATTGGGGAACCCGGCGGTCACGGCAGCACACTTGGCGGCATCGTACGTGTTGACGGTTCCGAGAGGGCCTTGGAAGGTGTTGTAGCAAGGAGCTCCTGGGGGCAGGTTGACGCGAAGGTTGCCGCCAACGGTGCGGTTGAGGTTATCCCAGTGGTTTTGCTTGGGCCAGCAGTAGTCGCCAGGATGACATTTGCAGGCGTAGTTGTTTCCCTCCCAGGTTCTGGCCACCCACTTGTTTGGCTTGAAGCCAGGTACCTTTGTGATGGCGTCCGAGTTGGGGGCGCATGCAGCCTCAACGGCAAGGAGGAGCGCGCCGCAAAGCACGCCAACGATGCCGCCCTTCATGGTGGTGGTGGTGGTGATCTGGGGATACGGAAGCTGGAACCAGAGACTTGTTCGCTCGGGAAACGAGCCGCGTGGAGGGAGAAACGAGGGCCGCTAGAATGTTTTATAACTTCTCGTGCATTTTGCCAAGGGGCCATCTTGTGTGAATGCGACGGCAGGTCGTGGCTATAATGCGATGCATATTGGGGATATTACCGCAGCAAGCAAGGTAACTTGGCATTTCCGGGGCACCGGGGCTGTTACCTTCTCGCAAGCCCATCCCGGGCAGGGCTCCTAGCGCCGACCTATTTTGGCCTCCATCGCCGAACTCGTCGAAGCGCCTTGTCCGGATGGCAAGCCGGCGGTTGTGTCAGCCCATCGGCTCCACCGCCCGGAAACTCTGGCGCAACAGGCGATGGTGCCGAGCGTTTCTCGATGTGATCCGGGTGGGTCTGGGGGGTTTCCTTGACAAGTCCGACGGTGTTCTGTCTTTGCTGCTCTTTTTGACCCAGAAAATTGGTGTGTGAAGATTCTCGGAATTGAAGCGTGGAATTAACGGTGCGTTGGCTGCGTGGGCTGCATGGCACCCTCGCTTGGCTGGCACGGCATTCGAGCCCCAACCAGGGGTTGTCGCATCGCAGGCAGGCAAGCAGGCAGGGTGTATCGGGATCGGAGTGTTGTGGTTGGCGAATCGGCAACCGTTGGGGGAAGGAGGAAGGAGGATAGAACAGTCTGTGCGGGGTAGATTCCCACGCTCCGGCTCGCCCACCTTTTCTCTCCTGCATTGTTCCTGGCATTCATCTCGGAGAAGCTGGCTGGTCGTGTACGCCGCCGTACTTTATGTGTAGATTGATCATTTGGAATGTCCAAACTGCCGGGTTCGCCTTCTTCCAACAGCCATTACTCCCCGGGCCGCTGTGCCGCTGCGCCACATGCCTCTCTCGTGGCAGCACGACTTGTGCTCTTTTGGTACCCTCATTTCGGCCGAGGACCTCGCAGCTCTTAGCTCTGCACTCCAATTCCACAACCAACACGAGTGTCGCTTGCCACCTTGCTCGCCAATAGGTAGCATCGTCCACCGTGTGGGGACAAAGGATCACAGTCCAACATCACACTAGTGGAAATATTCGACGACAGGGCAACTAGTTTCTGCTTGGCTGACCATCTCGTCATTGTATGGATATGGGTGAAGTGGGATGGCTGCTTGTGAGATTTAGGCTGATGAATATTGCAGCAATGCGAGGCTATTCAACATCTTGAAGCTATTCGCATGTCTCTACACTGTATAGGATGCACATAATTCTGCATTTGTTGAGGGAGGGTTGGATTGGTTATCAGGACAGCCAACCACAACTCAGCCAGACACGGAAAACCAGTATGACCGGCCCGACCCTTTGAGACTCTATCTTCGGCAGTATGCAACCTAGGTAGGGAAGGACAATGTCATACCTAAAACCTGAAGTCTGCTTGCAATGCCGGGCGCTTGCTGGTGTCATGGTACCATAAAAAGCAGGGAGTTCTGCTCCCCTCCCAATCTCTGAGGCCAGCCATTTCCGTCTCTTCTCACCGGATAGTTCTCATCAACCCTGGGCTCCTTCGATTCTCACCATGGCAAACGATACCACCGAACCAGTCCCAACATCTTCGAAGTCGACCAACTCCATGGCAGAGGCCATCATAGACCAGGAAACACTCGCACAGCAGCTTCTGGCTGAGCTTCGGCGACTCAATGAGATACTTGGAAACCAACAGCTATCAAGCGTGGCGAGTTTTCCCCGACATCCACCGGAACCAATACCATCAACACTCCGGCTACCGAGTCGCACTTGCTTGATATACATGTGCCGAGTAGTACCCAACTATCTCAGCTCATAGTTTCTTTGCGAGAGTGGACGGCAATTCTCATCAGTAAACAAAGTGAGGAACATTTCGCCGCTATTAGGTCTGACCTGGGAAGTGCCACCCTCGAGGACTATCTACAGCTTTTCCCACCAAACCACCCACCTTTTATCCCGTGCGCAACAAGCGGCCCCCTAGTATTTGGTTCGCCTTTCGCTCCTCTTTCAGGCATGCATTGGGCGTTTGACGATGCTTCATTCGTTCTGCCTGCCAAGGGCAGCACAACAGCTTCGCAGCAAAGAATGAGCTTCGGCCGAAATCTCGACCCTTCGATGGGGGGCATGGTCAGGAAATTCTTACACGAAGAGTGCCCAACAAGTGTGATGCCGGCAGCCTGGAGGCAAGAGCCAGGACGGTGACGAGAATCATTGCCGGAACAAACCATGTTCTGGCGTCTTGTTCACCCTGGCCTTGATCTTCGCTACGTGGTAACACATTTTGAGCTCAATGAGGCGTACTTCCTGTATCTTTGGCCGTGTGGCGACAAGCTTTCTCTTCAACCGGCCAGGTGGTCTGTAGGCAACATGGGGTTTCCAACATGGTCCTCCTGCCCCCAAATATTAGGTTCCGACCAACCGTACTCCACCCCGAGTTTGCAGAGCCGACTGATATCAATATTGGTCAGATCTGGTATGTTGCATTTTGTTCTAGCCTTGAAAATCGAGACTGCCGTGATGATTAATGAAGAGCAATCGTGACAGGTTTGTTACCACCTCAAGACGTCCAACTCTCAACCTCAATGCAGCTGCATTCATTTTCTCTTTGCTATCGCGACAACATTTCTCTAACGCATCGTCCGAGGAAGATAAGCGCGATATGTATCGGGATTATTCATTTGTCGCCAGGTTTCTTCGGCAGTGGCCATGGCATCCTTTTACCTCCTCGCACCGTCTTGACACCTCCAGCCATTCGTGTGGAACCTCATTTCATAAATGGTGGCTCCAGGCATCTCCGGTTCATCCGGAAAACGGGCTCTGGCCCCCGGGCTTCCTCCTTGAACGGGAGCGTGGGAAGCTGCCCCGCAAGCTCCCACACTCAACTGGGGGTGTTGAGGAAGCGCGAGCTGCTGTGAAATGGGTGTGAACGTTGAGGCGGCTTCTTTGTTCTGCATTGTTGTTATTGAAGACCACGTCTTCACTTCGCGGCGCGAATATCAAGGTGTAAGGCTGCGATCAAAAAGGATTGAGATGATTGCTCAAAGAGCTAGCATTTGTCATTTACAAATTGTGTTGGACAACGTCTTGGAGACAAGGTGGTATGGAGGGTGGGACCGTCTGTCGGATGCAATTGACAGTTCTGTCACCGTTCAGGTAGGGGTATCTCCTCTTCACCATATGTCTTGTCACTGACTACATGAACTCTCTATAGGCAGAGGACATCTTCAATGAACGCAAGGCCCAGAAGATCATGCTCGACGACTCCTTCAGTCAATCACGAATGTGCTTTCAGCTTCTCTATCTCCTACGAATTGCTCTTGAATGGATGAAAGAGACTCAAGAGGGCCTGCAAGACTTTTATAGAATTTTTGGCATTCATCCTCTACGGGGTTGGCATGAATCCACTTCCGAGACAGCCAAATTTGACAGGATAGTTGAAGAGAACTGGGACAGGGTCATGGCACAATTTGACAGCCTCCAAGCTAAGCTCGAGAGACGCATCGAGGTCAAGGCAGACGAGATGTGTGGGCTTCAAGATGGGGTATGTCTATGCGTGTTCACTGAAAGCTTTTGCGGACAGTCTTACTAGATCTTGAGCGCCACAAATATGCTGGAAGCCTCCAAGTCAACATCGATGAATCGCCATATCATTGTTTTCACTGTTGTCACTATACTCTACCTTCCACTCAGCTATGTGACTGTACGTACCCTGACTCAGCGCTGAACCATGGACTCCAACGCCTCACGCTGACCCATCTTCATCCACAAGCAGGCTGTTTACAGCATGTCCCTCATCCAGGATGAAGACCTGTCCCACCTCAAGTGGCCTCATGTCGGATCCATGGTTGTAGTAGCATGTCTAACATACATGATATCCGTTGCCGTCGTCTTCTTTGTCGACCGCAAGAAGATTATACCCTTGGGTCCTTCGACGAGTCCCCGCCGGTATCAAAGACAAGCCGTGGTTCTGGAGTGCCTGTAACAAAATAGGCATCAAACCGCCTGGCGTCCACCCCCCAGGTCCTGCCACGCCGACACTCAAACCAAAAGTCGGACCTAAAGAGAAACCACCTGCGGCACCGAACGGGTGGGGAAACTTTTGGACAAAGGGAGGCTTGGATTTGCGTCGGCGGAAACATGTTGGAGACGCGGCTCCTGTTGAAGTGGTGTAAAAGTCGGCTAGTGGTCTGCGTCAAGTCCCGCCACGGCTGCTGTTTCGTCTGTTGAACCTGAGCTTGAGAGCAACAAGTCCTTCATGTATCGCATTTTAACGTTTTTTATTACAGTTCGGTTGTTAGTGGGAGCAACAAGAATGTGTTCTCAAAGCAACAAATCCGTCTTTGTGCGGGCGGTTCAACCGTGGCTATAAGCCAGTCGAAACAGGTGGGATATGTGCTCAGCATATATGGGAAGAGGCTCCTGTTGTCAATCGTCTGAAGGGGCAAGAGCAACAGACTCCGTTTGCGCACGCTGATCTCATGACTTGAGTGGGAATTTACGGCCGCTTCCCACATTTCCATCAGCTGCTCTCAACCTCTTCGTGACTTATTAATACATATCCTGGCCCTCGTAGCCTCCTCCCGAACTCTTTCTCCATCGCCAAGAGGCTTCAAGCACCAAGATCTTATCGCCAAGACTCTGCAAGCGACATCATCATGTGGTCCAGTACCATCTTCGCTGCCACCGCCCTGGCCACCTTTCTGAAGGTATGGCCTCCTACTCACGTCAAAGACCGAGAAGAAGAAGCACCAACAGCTTACCAATGAAACAGGGTGTCTCCAGCGCTCCCTCCCCCTCCACCGACGAAGCCCCGAACGGAATTGCCGGCTACAACATAGTCGACGTTTCCTGGGACCTCCCCGTCAAGCTTGACGACCCCACCAGCGAGATCGTCACCGTGACCGGCACGATCGAGGAGGCCATTGCCCAAATGGAAGCCGCCTACCCCGGCTGGAACGAGACCTTCCAAGCCGGAATCCCTACCGATCCCATGCCCACCGGTGATGACACGAGCTTCGTCTCCGCCGGCACCGCTGATGAACAGCCCGAGTCCATCAACTGCAAGGTGGACTACGACGGCGCGAGAACGAGCAAAATCTGGGACGGGATTTGTTACTTGAGGCGTTTGAACACTGACCCACCCAAGAACGGGCCGGGGCCGGGGAATTGTGGACGAGTTAGCTGTTCGTGGAAGTCGGCTATCTATTGGTGCAACGATGTGAGTTCGCCTTGGCTTTGGGTGGGGGGTTGAGTGAAGGAAAGTCGACTGACGATGAGATATACAGAACTTGGAAGAGAAGGAGCTCACGTGGAAGCAAATTGGCGATGGCGCGAATTCTGTGTTGCATGGTGGATGCATCACTGGTAGATCGACCTATCAAAGGGTCAAGGGCCAGGCGTTCTTCAAGGACAATTGGAATGTCCTTGTTCGTGGGGATGATTGCTGAGGCGAGAGGGCGGCCGTCGACGGAGCAAAGTAGGGAGGGAGGCGAGAGTTGGTTCACGTCGTTAGTCTGTGACTAATGATACCTAAACTAATTGCAAGGTCAAGACTGCTTATTGGACAAATGAGTGATGCTTGGCCGCCTGCAGCCGCCTGATATCCAGGGCTGAGGCGAGAGCTGCAGCGGCTGAATTGTGGTTCTGTTGGTTTCACTCTGTCTCCTTGGTTGCAGTTACACGTTCGGATGTAGTTACTTGCATACCGGCTGAACACCCTACATAATCTGGCATACTACCTCTTATTGACCCTACCGATTGCAACGTTGCAGGACTCGGGAAAGCTTGATTTGACCTTGGGTATATTATCCTGTACCATCTCTTTACGTACTAACGTTGTCTTTATTCTCTCCAACGATTTGTCTCCACTAGCCCTTGGTATCCACTACCCCTGAATTTGTCGTCGCAAAGTCCACAAACGCACTGACAACCTCGATGTTCTCCCTTTTTGGCCTTGCTTTCATTTTTATTGTTAGGACAGGAGTTGGTGCGGTGATAGAAAAGGAGTATGGCTACTGGAACTTGACGATTGTGGGAGGAGCGTCGGCCACTGGGTGGCGGTATCAGGACACGACGTCTGTGTTTTTTGGGAGGGGGGACGAGGAGGGGGTGGGGAGGGGGGAGGTCAAGTGTCATTGGGTTTATAACCCTGAGACGAGAGGGGAGACGATGGAGTGTACTGAGGGGGGATTTGGTTATCAGTGGGGGGATGAGGGTAGGACGGGTGAGTTGATTTCTGCTTTGATGACCAGGTGGATGGGAGATTGGGGGAAGGGTGTGTGTTGGTGAGATGGGTAACGGTGAAGAGAAAAGAAGGGCGGGAAAGGGTTAGGTATTCGGGAGAAAAGTATATATGGGAATGTGGGAATGTGGAAATGTGGAAATGTAGTAAAGGGGACGGCAAGGGTATAAAATCGTGGGCATATAAAGCTGACAGAACTTTTCCGACAGATATCACTGTGCAACAGACCCTGGAGAACATCGATGGTGAAGTAGGAAGCATCACACTAGGTGGAACGGCCAACGTGACTTTGAGATATGGAACTTCAGCGAACGGGCGAGGATTCGAGGGCAGGGTCATCGTGCCTGCTAGGAGATGCTGTTGGGGCAGGATGAATGGGTAGTTGAATCTAACACACATGGAGAGAACAGAGAAGTGTCAGCTACTTGCCCGTGACCCCCAGCAACAAGGAGGCAATGTGCTCCTGCTCCACATGCACCTGTCCTGATCCAGACTGGCTGCGATGCTGAACCCTCAAAGCATACCCATCAATCCAACTCCTATCCCCATCAAAGCACCGACGGCAGCAGCTCCAGTCTCTCTAGGTCCACCCGCTGTACTCGTCGTTGCTGCCGGACCACCCACGCCATTCGACCCATCAGTCGGCCCAAGACCAACTGCAGCAGCCGTGAGGCATGCGTCAACATCGGTAGCCACCATCATAAGCGCGTTCCCAGCAACACCCGTCTCTCCCTCGCCGGAGCAGCTCGTGGCAAAGGCCTTGACCGACTCCTTGTTTGCATCGACCCACGAGCTCACATCCTTTTGCCAGATGGCAAACTCTTGCAGTATACTCGTGGACCTTTGTGGAATGGCACCGGCTATCTTGGTCGGGAAGGCGACGACGCCCGAGCAGACGACTCTCCTGTCAGAGTGAGCGTTTGTTGGTTGGAGTTTGGGATCGCCTGTCACGAAGACGTGGTCATGGTCAAGCGAGTTGGAACTGACGATCTCGGCGATGGCGGCTGGTTGGGTGGGATACGAGGCTTGTAATTCGTTTTGAAAGTACGCCGCGCAACGGTCGCTCGGTGCCAAAGTTGGCAGGCCTGTCAGTCTTGGGGTGGCGGTGGTGTCCTGGGCAACAGCAAAGGTTGACAGGAGTATGAACCACAAGGTGGTGGTGGAATCGGGGGCTCGCATGATGGTGGAGGTTGTCAAGATGGCGATTCTGGACTGTTGAAAGGTGCAAAGTTGAAAGTCGAGAGACAGAGAAAGAAATCCCCGAACGGGCTTGCAGTCCAGCTGTATGTATTTGTCTCCTCCTCGAATTCTTGCGCGGTGATGCTTCGGTTAGGACTAGACGCCTTGACCCCTGCATACACTATGACCTAGCCAGGCATTGCCAAGCTCGTAGCGCAACGGGTCAGAATCTTCGATGGCGGGCGGGGAACAAGTTTCATCTAGTTTGGTGTTCAAAGTTGGGGATGTTGACAGCGCGATGGGAAGTGCTTGGGAGACTTCTACCGGCAACATCAACACCACAGTTATGCTGCAACCACTGCATCGATGTGCCTCATGTACCCCCAGCTTGGCTGTAGTATGCCACCTTGTGGCCCTCTTGGCAACTCCCCGACCCCTGTTCAGCCTGCAGCTCGTCTATCGGCGCGGATTTCCCGATTATTCTCAAACCCCGGTCTGCTCGCATCCTTCCAGGAAGCCTGTGGAGCTATGCCCAGGCGGGTATATGAATCGTGCTGGCCTCTTGGTTGCTCGGTTGCTTCTCACTTTCGACAGGAACCAGTGAACAACAGTTTCCCTTATCTGTGTCGGGTGGTTATCGAGAAGATACTGATTCAGATGAGCAGTGATGGCAAGTATAAAGCCCGCATTGGGACTATTCGTTGTCGTCCCTTCCTTTTCACTCGCTCAAATCTGTCAGTCGAGTTTCGGTTGGGAAGTTGCAAAGAGCGTCCATGCCGGCGGCTCCTTCCGCCGAACATCTGCAATGCACTTTCTCATCGCGGAATCTGGAGTTGTGCCTTCCACTTTCAAGCTTCGATATGAGGTGAACCTGGAAGGTGCAACTGTTATTACAGGCAGGTGGCGCACCCCCCACTCCTCATACATCTCCAATTGCACAAAACGTGCGGATGCACAAAGTCCCGGCAGCATACGGTAGTTCATCAAGACCATACCATCTTTCTCCACGCCGAGCTGTAACAAGACGATCGCCCAGTCATTTACGAAAATGCATTTGCCAGTTCCTTTCAGCTTGTCGATATGGCCTCTCAGCTGGAAACACCCATGGGCTTATTTCCACCGCCATAGGTGATTTTGCTATGAAAGTTGTCTCTGCACCAAACAAAAAAGGCTGCTGATGGTGACAGCCACCTAAGATTGATAAGGGTCTTGGAAGTGTTTGACACTCGATACTAATGGTGGCCATCTGGCGTAACTGTTTCGGGATCACACCTGCCACCGATCGCCCAGGGCTGGTTGTAGGTGATAACTCGCTACCAGCTCTCCATTGTCGTATCTTCCTACCCATGTGGGATACAAATCCTGCTCTATCTACCCGCCTTGGCTGATATTTCTTTGTTGTCACCCTCCAAGTATGAAAGAAAGACAACTTTGGCTATGACCCTTTGTTGTGAAGGGTGTTCAGACAAAGAATTCCAAAGTACCTGTAATGCTGCAGAAAATGTGAACAGGAATACCATCAAAACTATACTAGATAGTTTTCTGTGTGAGGTTTGAACAATCGTTCGCACCAACCGTTTGATATTAATCTTCTTCGGCCATCTTCCTGATGCATGCCGCACATTCATTAAGCACCAGGTTGGCAGGTATTCGCTGAAGCAATATTCCGAGATAGTATCTAGGTGGACCACATGCAGGTCCCAACGGATGTGGTAACTGCCGCCAGTAAATTCCGGTGCGAGAACAAAGGCGACTCTGTCTGGTAGCACAATGGAATTGTTCTGGCTGCATATACTTAGAAGACAAGGCGAATATTCGAATAAACATAGGTAGCTATCAGTTGGACAGCATGATTTAACTCACTTCAACTATATTGTAAATGAATCAGAGATAACAGCAAAGAAGCCTATTAAAGCACGACCGCTCGTCTCTGCCATCATCATTCATCTTCATCGAACCATTCAGTTCACTTCACCGCAACAGCTACCTTAACTTATTCTTCCGCTAGGTAACGTCTCAACTCAAACTACTACCCAACTAACCTCTTTTTCCAGAACCCGATTTACCATCAAAATGGCTTCTCAAAGAGCAGAGCTTCAGTACTGGCCTACACTCAAGGCTTGGATTCAGGAAAACCGTCTCGGAAACTACCCCGGTGCCACCACAACGCCTGTTGTGCACTGTGTCATCTGCCTCGACAAGGACGAGATCCTCACCCCTGCCACTCCTCCGCAAAACATTGCCAATGCCCACCCGGGAGTAACTCTTTTCTGCGGGCACATGATGTGCAAGGCTTGCTACGGGCGCTGGGAAAAACATCTGATAGAAGCCGGTAAGGCCGTCACTTGCCCCACCTGCCGACACAAATTGGTGTATACTACGAGCCAGGTTGCTTCCAACGGCTGCACACACCCTGCCTATGCCTGGGACCTCCCAGTGGAAACCTACTCCCCCATCAACATCCCCCCTACCAAAGACGATGAGGGGTCTATCCCCAACTTCTGCCACAACTGTCGGGTCGACAGAATGAACTACATTGCCCGGCATATCACTGAGCTTCGGCAGGAGGGCTATGATGACTTTCAGGTCAGGAATATCTTGCTTCATTCCGCTGGCGGTGCTCTCGAGCTGACCGATTTTGAGCAGCGAGCGGCCTTCCCACCTAATGCTAATGGTACATATTTTGCACCCTGGGTTGCGCCCCCTCGCAATAATGAGCAGAATTATCTCCTCGACCAGCTTCGTCAGCAGCTCGTCAGGGAGGGGCACTCATGGCGTGGCCGTGTCCCGCAACCTCCTCCTGTTGGTTTCTTCGGTCTACAGTAGACACTGGCAAGGTAGGTTTTAGTTGCCAAAAATACCACTCCTGGAGATAATGAAGACCTGGCCTCTAAAAATAGAATGTGAGCCTGAATCTGATCAATGATCTTAATCGTATTTTTTTAACAAATTATTGAACTTGTCCCAAAATCTTGAACTTTTGATCTGTGATTATCCACGAAACTTCCATAGTCTGTTGTATGCTTGGTGTTGTTTATTACCTACCTCTCACTCGCCCCTGAACCCCTGAATTCAGGTCGCATTTCCCCTCAATAACCCCTGCTAAACCGCCAATCGATCGACCGTTGGGCGCATATGCTTGGGCCTTATCGATAGGGACGATTGTTCGCAGCACACCGTGATTAGACGCTGCTATCGTCACGATCTCCGGGTCGTTTGAAGGCCGCTCCTCAAGAGCCGAATGGAAAGCTTCTTGATTGTTTGTTTATGAGATCAGCAAAAATCAGTAACTCGTAGCAAACGAGTCTCTCCTTTTTTTGTTGAGCCGTCCACCGGGGGTGGCCTGGCGGCGGCCTCCGCAAACAACGAACATCCCCACTCCTGACTCAGCTGGGAATACCCTCACTTTTCCGAATTCGGCATACTCCACCCGTCAGCTCTTTTGCTCCTGCACTGCCCGACTTCCCCAGCTGCAACGTCAGCGTGCTTCCAAGCCCAACATTCCTACCTGAAACCATGAGCCAAGATGACCGGATCTTGGCCCTTGTGCTTGTTTTAGCCTCAATGATTTGTTGAAATCAGTCCAAACAGAAAAAACCACTCGTCACCGTATGCATGGCAAGAGTTTGACGTCACTCGTATCACCCCACCGCCAAGCGATTGCTATCGAAAGTCCACAACTGATCGGATGCCAAGGCAGCGGGCCCCAGGACCCCGCAGCCCCTCCTCCTGCTCCCTCTTCGCGTTGCTGTGCACAGCCAGACCCGGTTTGGGTATATATGATACGTTTGCCCAACTCGTTGCTGTCTTTCTGCCATATTTTAACTTCTTCACAGTTGACTCTGCTAGTTGCGGCCTATTCCCTAGTTACGGTCCCCTAGTCTCACACACATCACACACCATGGCGTCCCTAGTAGAGACTCTCACTGCCTCTGGCGGTCCCGAGTCAGCGGGTATGTCATGTTCCAACCACAAACAAGACTCGGGATTCAACTGACAAACATACAGGTTTCCTGAACGACCTCGTTGGTCACCTATGGCCCAATATCTGTGTTGCCGGTGGCGCCATGATCAAGCAGATTGCTGAGCCCATGTTCGCGCAGATGCTTCCTGCTCCCCTGAACACACTTCACTTCGCCAAGATTGACTTGGGCGTTCAGCCCATGACCTTCTCCAACGTGGATGTGCATAAGGTTGACAACGGTGGTATCAAGCTGGACTTGGATGTCAACTGGGATGGCAACTGCGATATCGAGATGGACGGAAAGATGATCCCTAAGGTGGGCGTCGAGCACGTCAAGCTGAGTGGCAGACTATCTATCCTGCTCTGCCCAATCACCAATGTGATCCCTCTTGTAAGTTGACCGAGGTTCTTTGGAGCAAGTCTAGGCATGCCTTACTAACAGACTCGCAGATTGGCGCCGCCCAAGTCTCCTTCATCAACCCCCCTTACCTCAAGTTTAACTACACAGATGGCGCCAACATTGCCAATCTTGGCTTCATCGACTCATGCGTCCGCAAGGTCGTCCAGTCCATCATTGCCGGCATGGCCGTCCTTCCTAACCGCTTCCTCGTGAAGCTCGACCCATTCAACGATTACTTCAAGACCTACCAGCTCCCAGTCGGTGTCGTCCGTCTCACCATCGAGTCAGGAAGCAACTTTGGCGAGGAGCTCAAGTCCAAGAACATTTTCAAGAAGCTCGTCCACGATGTCCCAGACTGCTACGTCACCACCTCCCTCTCAGGCGAGACTCCCGGCTGGAAGACAGCCACGGTCAAGGACAACCACCACCCCGAGTGGAACGAGACCAGAGACTTTATCGTCTCTGATCATGATCAGTTGCTGGCGTTGGATGTCAAGGACTCAGACACCGCTTCCGACGATGACATTGGCCTCGCCACCATCACCGTCAAGAACCTCCTCCTGGCTCATGGTCAGAAGCAGGATCTTACCCTCATGCACAAGGGCGAGGAGACCGCGGGCAAGCTTACTGTCAGCGGCAAATACTACCAATTCATCCCCGATGCCACCAGCATCATCGGCGAGGAGAACCCCGCAGAGATCAAGGGCTTGCTCGCCGTCCTTGTTGCTGCTGTCAAGAACCTCAAGGGTGCTCGCGAGCAGCTCAAGCCCAGCGTCGCCATCACCTGGGGCGCGCACAAGTTCCAGACCGTCGTCAAGTGTGATGTTCCGGGCGGCGCTGAGGATATCCAGAACCCTCACTTTGACAACACTTTCCGCATTCCTCTCTCTGGCAGCATCGAAGGTGCTGCTCCTGTAAGAATTGCCCTGATGGATGGCAAGAACGAGATTGGCGCTGTTGAGGTGCCTCTTGAGGAGGTCCTTGCGTCGGAGAACTTGGCTTTGCTCAAGGAGTTTGATGTTGGTAACGGCCAGATTGTCAAGGCTGGTGTTGTGATCAGGGGTACCAAGCTTGTTGAGTAAGGGAAGGATAAAATGAGGGATGGGGTAACAAAACCATAGCATTAGCGTTCATTATCAGAATTATGAAAAATAATTAATGACTCGATAGAAAGTAAAAAATAAAATAAAAATGGCAAAAGAATGTGCCCAATAACAGGATTGAACTGTTGACCTTCGCATGACTTGATATGACTCAAAGAGAGTAATATTAGTACGACGCTCTAACCAGCTGAGCTAATCGGGCTTCTGATTGGATGTGAGTAGCGTCGTGGCTACCATTCAAGAAGGAGATGGATGGGCGACTCCAAGACAGAGTTGATCTGTAGAGGGATGTATGCGATGAATGGCATGCAAAATGCAAGAGAAACCAGAATTTGAAGAGCCAGGTGCCAATTAGGAAGAGGGTCTTCGACATGAGAGGTAGGAGGGATGATGAGTGAGACTGTGAGAGAAGTGAGATGTCGAAAGTACTCACTTCAACCAAGCAGCGAAATCATTGACGTCACAAAAGGACACCACCCACCACAGGCCCCCTATCCCACAAGCCACGCGACTTTGATCTCTCCAGCCATCAACAATCATCCATTTCTTTTCTTTCCCAGGAATTGGCAACTCATCAATGCGCACCTGCATCCTCTCCCCCCTTCGAATCAAGTCCACACTAGTCACCACTACCACAACCACCACCACTTACACCCCACGCTTACTACTCTTACCGACCACCACCACCACCACCACCACCACCACCACCACCAAGATCACCACTCACCACCCCATCGACTTCTACCTTCAAGCACGTACAATGTCCTCCTCTCACTCCAAGACCCAACTCAAAGGAGGCTGCACCTGCAAAACCGTCCAGTACACCCTCACCCTCAACTCGGTGGAAGATGCTCGGACAACACTCTGTCACTGCAAGTCCTGCAAGCGAGCCTTTGGGACAAATTACGGACTCACAGCCAAGGTTGCCTTGGATGCTTTCTCGTACAATGACGGGACAGAGACGCTCAAGAAGTACACGCAGCAGAACGGGGTGACGAGGGAGTTTTGCGGGGAGTGTGGGGTTTTTATTTGCGAGTATGGTGTAAGTACCTTCTCGCCCTCTTGATTGCATCCCGTATTTGGGGGAGTGATGGGACAGCCAACATGACTGTCAGGACTTCAGAGATGGTTTTTTGGATCTCGATGTTTTGCGGGAGATATGATACTGAAGGATGGCTTTACGTACACAATGGACTAATCGAGAAATGGCAGAAAGAAGCAGCCGACAAGTTTCGGTACGTCATGTGGGGGTCTCTTGATGAGCCAGAAAATATCCCGCCAAAGGGGGAGTTCTTTTGCAAGGAGAGGGCTTCTTGGATGCCTGAGATCAATGGTAGGTGTGCTTTTTTTTCTTGCCAGGGAAATTTCGTCCGAGTGAGATTGGGAAGTTGTCACGAAGGATTCGATAGTGTGGAGGATTGTTGGTGGGAGAAGGTTTGGGGGTTTGTCAGGAAGGGAAATCCGAATGTTGGGTGCTTGGACCTTTGATTCCTGTTTGATGCTCATCAAGGATCCAGCTTTTGCTCAAGTTGCTGATCTGGTTCTTTTGCAGGTGTCTTTCACAAACGCGAGATCAAGGAGTAATCGGTCGATTTCGGTCTGCACCTCTGCACTCGACGTCCATTGCCGCCAGCTCAATGATATTCCAGTGTCAGTTGCCGCTGCTGTTGCACACTGTTTCAGGCGGCAAGCGGAGGTCTCGGAAAGAAGGGTCTCGGATTGTCCACATGAGGAGCATGCGGGGATGTTTCTTTTGGGTATTATCTCTAAAAGTGTACGCAAACAGATAAGACTCTCGGCTTGCAGATAGGATGCTAATGAGGGTGTAGAATCCTCAATTCCTCCTGGCTTTGTTGGCTGTTGAAGGGTTCAAACTTCTTCACCTCCAAGCCCGAAATAACCGAGTTCATACACCAACTTTCTCTTGGTATGAAAGCCACATGTCCCAAGAACAAGAATAGCGATCGCGCCAAGAATGTCGTGTCGTCCAATGTTTTATTGAACTCGATGGAACTTTTGTAGGGCCTGGCGAGACTGGGACTGGCAAGCGCTGAGCCGGAAGCTGGTTGGTGGTGAGTGACGGGACCTCGACTACTGATTTTGGCCGGCCTCACTTCCAGAAAAGAAGCAGCCTTCTGCAACACACCGCCGCTGCATGGATGAGGGCCCTCAACGTGCTTGCTTGTTTGTTGGTGCGGCGGCAAATTGCCGTGCTTCCGGCTTTTATCGTCGAATTCTGACATATTTTGCTGACGAGGCCTAGAGCGGTTTTGTGATGTATCTATTGGTGTAACTCGTATCCGATGGGCCATGATGGCGGCTGATCCCGACGGATTACCACCCCCCATGGGTCACGCTGCCGGCCGACTTCCTTCATCTGTTCGTGCCGAAGCGAGCCATTCTGTGCAAGCTGCCGCCGACCCCAGCCGAGGTGCCATTGTTTTCTTTTGCCCTGTCAGGCACCCCCCTATTCACGAGGTGGTTGCTCACCGAGTGTCTTGTTCCCAGCTATGCTGTCTATCACTACCAGATAGGAACAGTATATGCGTGAAGATGGATGGCCTTGACTAATCTGTAGGATTTTCTCAGAATTCTATTGGAAGTCAAGTTCAGGAAGTTGTCCTTGAAAAAGATGCATCCTGCAGGAGGGTTCGCTTTCGTCCACCACACAGTGTTGTCGACTTGCCGATGTCGATACTCCAGTTGAGCACCGCCTTGTGACTATGCAGGCCTCGGAAACGAAGGCACCTCATGATGCGAGGTGGGGTTCAGAACCCCCTTGAGATGTGCGTTCCGACATCAACTCCAAAGGATGGTGGTGGTCGAAGAGAGCTGAACCAATAACCGAAGTCACGTTGCGCTGTGCTCCGTATCCGACTTCACCTCCATGGGAGGACAGGATCCGATGAGGGAGACCGATGATCGGAGACCGGAAAATACTATAAAGGAACGCACGCCATCCCCGACAACACCTCAACCCTTTTCTCTCCATCAGCATTCAAGCCTTCAAGTATCCTTACCACCTTTCCAACAACATCATTACCACCAGTACCTACATCCTCTCAATGTCTATTACCACCGGCCACCATCAAAATGCAGTTCTCCAAGATCTTCCTTCCCCTCGCCGTCGCCACCACCGGCCTTGCTGCCCCCGCCCAGGTGGACACTGCCCCCGTCCTTGTCGACCGCCAGGTCACCCTTCCTCCAGTGGACGTCAACACCTGCGTCAACAGCCTCGTCGGCATCCCTCTCTTCCAGGCTCTTTGCCTGCTTGGTGCCATTCCAACTTTGAACCTCAGCAATATCGCAGCCTGCCTTGGCGGTGTCACCAACATCGCTCCTGTACGTGAAGCCCTTTCTTCGTTGGCCGATATCTAGCTCTTTCGTCTCTAACATTCAACAGCTTTGCAGCTGCGTCGAATCACTCCCTGCTCTGGGACCCGTTTTGGGCAGCTTTTGCTAAATGCTCCTCAAACCAACGGGGCAAGGCTCCGAGCACTGAAGCGCACAAGCCACTGGGAGGACTGTGAATAAGGGGAACTGTGAATAGGGGATTTATGGGTTGATGATCACATCTTGAGACGAGCCTGGGACCGCTGGTTGGGATGGATGGATGGATATAAGATATGACAGATTTACCGACACTCCTTCATGAACTCTTCTTTGTTTAATTTTGTCAGGATGATCATCATTAGCCACTCATTACATATCATTATCACATGTGGTGATTTTTGAAACAACCTTTGTCCCCATTGATATAGTGTGACGATGAACTAAATCGACATTACAAAGAAAACCAGGGGTATTGCAAGAAACGTGAGGAAGACTCCGAAACTGCCAAATAACCCCGTCAAACCACTTGGTGTGTTGTATTGCTGAGGCTGAGCGGGTATATAAGCCTAAGCACCACTGCACCAAACTCAACTTCATCAACGCCAACCCAAACCATCTCATCCAACCTCCACCCCTAGACCAACTTGTACCATCCGACAATGAAGCCTGTCCAACAACCAAACCCCATAATCCGCAAGCCACACCCTAACCGTCCACGAAATCTCACGCTAGCCTTGCCCTTTGGCAAAAACCTTTCCTCCACATTCTCCTTCCAGTCCCCCCCACAACTCAACGTCGAGCCTCAGGCTCAACCGGCGCGCAAACCGGCGCCACTAACAGCCTCAAACACAGAAACGTTCACTAGCTGGAACTTACACTACAACCGTGAGACTCCAAGCTTCCAAGGTTTCTCCTGGCCCTCGGGTGTTGATACAACCGAATCCCGCTCGCTGTCGACAGATCTCTTCTCTCCTCGCACTATCCCCCCTGGACACCTCACTCGGGCGTGCCATTCAGTAAATACGCCGCGAGCTGTCTGCACATCCACTCATCCCACTCTACCGTCTCCTTATCCGGTTCTCTGTCAGGCGGGGTGGCAAGGGGGCGAGCATACTGGTGGTATCCCTGCCGGTCAGCAACAACCTGCTGAGGCATAGGAGAGGGGGTGATCACACACCGACATTGCCGCTGCAGCTGGTAATTACCATTCCCCTCCGCCATTGGCGTCCCTCTGCCCTCCTAAGACAAAGACCCATCCCGACTAGCAGGCGGTGTCTGCTCCTCCCCCATCGCCTCCACCTCCTTTTCCTCTTCCCTCCTCGCCATCTGCCACCTCCCGGCCCTCTCCGACCTCCCCCTCTGCTCCTCCCTGATCTCCGCCTCCGTGACAAAACTCTCCTCCTTCTGCCTTTTATACCTCTCCAGAATCGTCCCAAAGCTGTAATCTGGCATGTCATACTCTGGGTCGTAAGTCGGGGGGACAAACCCTTCTGGTGTTTTCTGACAGGGGGGTTCACCCATGATGTTGCGCCTTGCGCTTTCGGCTTTTATCTCTTCTTCCATGATGTAGGAATCTTGGGTTTGGCGGTAGAATTCGAGGAGGAGGGAATCCCAGGTATATTCGGGTAGGTCGTACCTGAGGTCGGAGATGGGGTGTTTGTAACCCTGGGGGATGACGCCTGTGGCGGGGGCGCCTGAGAGGCGGGAGGTTATTGTGGCTGAATGTTGTTCTGGGGTGAGGTGGGAGAGGAGGGGGGTTGGGCGGCGGGGGGTGGGAGGGAAGGGTGGGTTGGTGGACTTGGTCGGCTTGGTGACGCGGTTGGGGTTGGGTTTGGGCATTGTTGCGGTGGTGGAACAACACAATATACCGGGATAGAATAGGTAGTGATGAATTGATTGTTTTTCTTCGAACGAATGTTGTCTTGACACTTGATGTTGTCGGTTGACGAACGTCACAGATGTGCTGCCTAGGTTGGTGATGGGATGGACGCTGCTTCCGACGAAGAAAAAAAAAGGAAGGAACCTCGCTTTTTTTTTCATACGAGACATTTTTTTCTGGTGGCTGATGTAAAGTTTTCAGTGGCATGAATGAAGATAAGCCTTCCGACTCTACGATATCCAGACTTTGGATTGCTTAGATCCAGAAGCGCTGCCCGCCATGGCGCCTGTGGAAGAAATGGCCAAGATTGAATCAACAGGTCTCCACAGGTGAAAAGTCTCGGCCATTTTCACCTATTGCATTGGCTTTGACCTTGATATGTGGCCTGTTATGTGCCCCTGCGTGACGGAATAGATGGAAAGAAGCTGGTGGTATCCTAACCCGTCTGTGAAGGGATTTTGGAAGTGAGAGTCACTGCAAGCTAAATGGACCGAAAAGCCAGAGAAGGATCTTTCATGGTAGGCAGTGAGAAGACGTCCTAGGGTAGTCAACCTCCTAGGGTAGTCAAGAAAGCTTCATGAACATCCCCTCTGCCCCCATCCCAACATACCAAATCACGCACCCCAAGATCAAAGCCGTGATACGGTCCAAAGTCCATAGACCTACACATGACACGCCAAACACCCCAGGACCATTTACCTCCGTGGCCTCCGGCGACAGAAATTGGATAGAGGCATCGAGACAAATGCGTGACCTGGGAACTCGCCGCCGCCGCCTATAAGATGGCCAGCCAGAGGAGAATGAACTTCATTCACAGGGGTGACAGTCGCTTGAACCAAGAAACTTTGTATTTAAAAGAGTCTACCCAGCAGGGTTGGCTCGGACTGTTTACCCTCATCCAATACCTGACCTGATTTTGCCCTACCAAACCACGGCGTCATACACATCGCCTTCCCATACCAATTGATGATACATGCATGTTCCATATCCAATGCTTGTGCATCCACTTGTTAGTGACAATATTCCACATGTTCAACCGAGGGCGACGTACCGTCATCTTAAATCAAGTCGACACATAAAGGGGTATACGCACTTCCTCCCCAGGGATTCCAGCCCTTACCCAAGACACATCTTCTCCAATCCTCTTCACGGACCAGACGCCCCAACAGAAGCCAACATCTCCTTACAAATCTTCAACCGATCATGCGCCTCATGCAACAACTCCGAGTACGCCTCCGCAAAAATCGAATGCAGCGCCTCCAACAAATCCGACAAGCCATCCACCAACATCCCCGCCGTAGCCTCCGTCAACTCGTTCATATTCGCAACATTCGACAAATAAGCCGACACTCTCCGATAATTAACCGGCAACACCTTCGGCGGCCGAAACGGCGAAGTAGGATGGCTGCTCATGTCGTGGACCGAGTCATGCTTGCTGATAGCACGCACAAACGACCAGATACACAGGGCAGCGTAGTACATGACCCATGGCCGGTGAGGGTCGGGCTCGCTGCGGCAGGAATAAGACTGGACCTCGATGGGGGGCAGGTGAACACCCCCGAGACCGATGCGGTCACGGTCGCTGCTGCTGATGCTCCCGCTGCTTCTCCGTGGGTCGACCAGCACACGGTGAAGAAGCTTGAAGGAATGAAGCACGGCGTGGCGGGTGGTAGGCAACGTTGCCCAGTGCTTCATGCGAGCAACAACGTTGGTGTAGTCCCGAACCGAAACCTTCCTACCCAAAAGACGCCTGGCTCCAGCATACACCTGACAGTCGACAATATCGACGTGCAAGCTCAGCTGAGCAAGATGGTATAGGACAGCGGCGCTGTGGATGGGGCCGTTGGCACCAGAGGGCTGGGAAACAGGAGTCGCAACTCCAGGACTCCCCGTCGTGCCCTGCGCCACGTCGAAACTGTACTTCCAGTCGTCGTATGCCTTGAGAAGAATCTTCTTCCACCCGTCCTGGGTCTCGCTCGGTGGGTTGGTGAAGTCCAGCCATTTGAGGTGTGTTTCCCTGTGGCTGAGATGCCAACCAACACTGAGAAGACCACACATGATGATCATCCGGCCGAATGAATGAGTCTTGACCTCCTTGCCATGAAGGGCACGCTTCAGGCCGTCCAGAAACGAAATGGTCTTTACACCATACATCCGGAGATTCTGATCGAGCTGCCGTACAGTATCCGGGTTCGAGGCGGTCCAGAGGTTATCATCACAGGGGAGTGGCAACCGTATCTCATGCGGAGCCATCTGTGCAGCGTGGCCAAACATTGCTGCATGTATGATGTCCATCATGAAGGCCGCAAATACCACCCGGTGCATCGCTTCCGTTTCCGCCCATCGACACCACCACGTATGGGAGTCGAGGCTCACCCCGTGTGGATGATCGGCTGAGGTCACCTCCGGCGGGGACTCGCTTCCCGAACGCCCAATCAAGGGGCTTCCTCGACGGAGGAGTGTCAGTGCCACCGAATGGTAAATATGCGCCCGTTCGTGGAGCTTCCGAGAAGAATACATCTTCTCGTAAAACTCCAGCAACAGCAAGGCCTGGGCGACCCAGAGCGCCACGGGTGGGGAGGCTTCCTCCGCCGTTACAATCTCCCATCTCACGCCGGTGATCATGACATCGGCAAAGCCACCATAATCTGGCAGGTTTCCATTTGTGTCCCGTCCACGCAGAGAAATAGCACCGAGCGATATCATGACCATGAGGAGGAATATTGAACAGCGGTTGCTCAAGAAGGTGGGCTGATGTACGATGGGTAATCGAGGAGATACATGATCCCAGTATTCCTGCAGACAATCGCGCATCATCTCCACACTCAGTGCAGGCATGTCACCGCTGCTGTTCTGCTGCGCCAGACTCGCAATCAGAGGCTCCGCCTTGGGCTGCTTCTGCCGGAAAGAATGGAACCAGCGCAGTACTTCCTGTCTTCGGAACTCGGACAAAAGCTCGTCGTTCTCGAAGCGGGGAGGGGTTTCGAGCTGTGACCGGCCACCACTGGTCAGTGACTCGTAGTCGTAGTGAATGTTGTTGTTCAGAGTTGACTCGAGCCCACCATCCATGAATGGGAGGTGAGACACACTGAAGTCGCCATAAGGGGCGTGTGGATCGAACAGCCAGACAGCAAAATTCTCGTGGGAAATATCGTCGTGGGGAAACTCGACGTCGACGCCGCGGTACGACACGGGGTTCTGCGGCTGTGGCGGCCTCTCCTCACGAGGGTAATACCCTGGCTTAGGCCTGATTATGTTACACTCCATCTCGGGCATTTGGGGGTGCCAACCAGGCTGATGGGTAGATAGTCTCGGCGGGGGAGGATTTGGAAGTGTATGAGGCTGGCGCGGTCTCGGCTCGGGGGCCAGCAAGATGGCGGCATCGTGAGGGGCATTCGGAACCGACGGTCGACTTTCGGCGCCAGGAGTAGGTGACAGAACGGCGCTTCCAGATGCGGCGGATGACTCGTCCTTGACGGCACTGAAGCTAGGCATTCGGTTTCGGGGTACGTACGACGACGAATGCCTCTTCCTGTGCCTGGCGAGAAGGTCGGCTCGTACAAACTTTTGTTCGCACTGTTGTTCCACAGCATCGTCAGTGTCCTGTGTGTCTTGCATCAATGGGTCAAACGTACACCCGGTACATCGCAACGAAAGATCTCCTTGGGCTGATCTGAGGTCTTGGTCAGCTACAGGTGATGGCGCACACGCGCAGGAAACAGCAGATCGCACGGTTCAACTGGTGACGCTGGAGATGCTCGGCTCTCGAGTAGAGCTTGTCACAGCCCGGGTAGGGGCAGCTGAAGCGACGGGGCGCTCCCTTGCGGCTCGCGCGTTTGTATGTGGCCGTGGGAGTGCCGGCGCCATTTTCGATGCCATTTTGAGGCTGCTGCGGGGGAGAAGGTTGTTGGGTCGCCATCGTTGTCGTCTAGCTAGTACTGGAGACGGGGGCTCATTCTTGGGGTCGTGAAATTCGTGGACAAGGCCGCAGCGCGCGCCTCTCTCTATCTGCAGCGAAAGAAGGACATCTGAACGAGCCTTGCAAGAAAACTGAATGACAGGCTCGAATGTTTCGAGAGAACGATAAAGCATCGAATTCCATCAACAGGGGCCGATCCGGGCAGCTCCCAGCTCTGGGCCTGGGCGCCTCTGCGGCGCGGGGCAGTTTACCCCAGACTTTGGCGCACCCCCACGCCCAATCTCCACCGGCCCACGTTCGAATTACCCCCTCCACGTGGAGGTACAAGTGGTACTATTACTTTTACATTTGACGACGATATCTGTAGCCGAGGAGTCTCTGTTTCTTTTTTTTTCTCTTTTCGTTGAATTTGACAGCGAAAACTTCCCTTGACAGAGTCTTTTTTTCAGGAGTCATCTTGGGCGCTAATGGCGTGCAACCCCTTAGGTATCCAATGCCGCATAGGTGGTGGACCACGGGCGGGAGCTTGGGCACCCAATGCACTGAGGTGGGCAGCTTGGGCGACAGCTCGACGTGGGGGTTTGAGGGGTCCCCCCAACAGAAAGCCAAGCAGCATTTCACAAAAAAAGGCTCTGACGAGAAAACTTTGACGAAGATCTCCCGGCCCGAGATAAGCGATGCCAAACTCTTTTGTCTAGTGAATCTAGCTCAGCCCTGGAGCTCCGCGGAGCTAGTTTCAGACCAATACATTTCTTCCCCTGGAACAGTGGGTCCTTAGAGTTGAGTTAGAGGTTCACACAGAACAATTGGAATTGCTGTGAAGATGGCAACAGTCGAAATATCTCAGTGTCCTCCATTGCCAGATAGCCGCGAATACCATCATCTGCGTTTAGCAGTTTTCCCAGTCCTCCTTGACAGTGACACTGAACTTCTCCTTGAATGTCACCGTGCCCTTGGCATGGTAAACTCCCTTGTCATCTTGCTTCTCGCAGTTCCTACAAACGTCATATGCTCCATCAGCAATGGCGTTCCACTCGACCTCCTTGTCGACCGTATCCTGGTCTACAGTTAGTAAACAGACATCAAAGCTTACAGCACAGGGTGACCAAAACGTACCTCATTGCACCAATAGATGGCAGTGTGATAGGAGCAGCTGACACGTCCACACTTGCCCGGATTGTTGCTCGCTTTGCCCGACAAGCCACGCAAGTACGAGACCCCCTGGCCAATACGATACTCGCTCTGCGCCTCCCCGGGAATATTGCAGTCAGTAGACACCACGTTGCCCAACTCCGGGTCATCGTCCGCCCTAAGGCCGAAGCGCGAGGGCAGCTGGACGGCGGGCAGCTGAGCCACAAAAGATTCGTTCCAACCAGGGAAGTGGGCTTCCATCCTGGCGACTGCCTCTTCGAAGGTACCGGTGACAGCAACCTTCTTGCCATTGGGGTCGTTGATGTTGATGGGGAGGTTCCACTGGACCGGAACAATCTCGCGGCCCTCCAAGCCAATGGAGACAGTGGCCTGGTCAAGGGAAGCGGGGGCGCTGTGAACAGCCTGTGACACGAATTAGCGACTTGTTCCGGAAGACTAGCTGACGATGTTCATACGCCAAAGAGAGCCAGAAAGCCGGCGAGGCGGGTGATGGTGGGCACCATATTGGTAGACTTGTTGGTCCTTGGTTGAGTTGTTGGTGTTGGTTCCGATCGAGTTGGTGAAGAGAGAGAGAACCTTTTAGGCAACAAAAGAGAGAGCAGCAGTTTGCTCAAAAGAGACGCTCAATATATACTTGCTCAGGAACAATAGCACGGCTCCGTCAGAGATCAATCGCTCCTGCCCAAGATACCGCCCGTAACTGAGAGACCCGCAGTGAATTTCGGCAGCAAGTGACTCGTAAGCGTCCTGCTTTGTTGAACAACCAGGTTCCAGGATTGTCTTCGGCTTTCGTCTTTACAATCCACCGCCTTCCAGAGAATTCTCCTTCATGCTTTCGATTCTCTGTTTCAGTTCCTGATATCGAACAATGAGCATCGTGTCGTACTAAGAGCTACGACGACGAGAGGGTGGCTGGAGATTGGACTTCAAATATATTAAGAAGTTGACCATATAGGTGAAGTGATAGTACGCTAACTCTTTGTCACCGAAGTTGCCTTTCTGGCTGTCATAATTGAATGCGGAATTCTTCTAGTAATCTTTGCCCGCGTGTCAGCTCCAGCTGGCAAACATTCGAGATTTCCTGTATATCTAATGGGGGCTCGACTGACCTTCCGCATGTTGAAATCTGGCTGGTGACATGCCCATGGCAATGTCGGCCATATCACGCCCAAACCAAATCAGGATCACAAGACAAGACAAGTCACAGCGAGTCCACCTCCAACGGCGACGACCCCCCAGCATCAACGTCCCTTCCTAACCCTCCATCTCTAAGCTCCTCCCTAGCCTCACCAAAATCCCCAATCCTCTCAATATAACCCTCCTCCTCCTCCCCGGTCGAAACCCTCCCCATAATCACATTTATCCATGGATACCGACCAAACCGCCCAACAACAGGCTTTTGCCCATTCTATCGGTCACGTCCCCTCGGCAAGAGGGCAAGCGCTACGAGGAAGATCAGAAAGAAACAAGCTTTTCGGATTTTTCCGGAAATATGGCATATTGCAATGGAGGCTGAAGTTGGAAGTTTGGGAACAAATGAAGGTTGCACTTGCATATCTCGTGAGGTAGCAACTACCTTCCTTTCTTGGCAGCATAATTCGAGAAACGGGAAAGCACTGGACTTCGGACTGCAGCAGGAACCCCGCCTCCACCATATTGAACCGCGATATTGAGGCGCCTTTGCCGACACCGCCCTTCGAGTATTCTCTGTAGAGATTGCTCGAAACATGCTCTTGATCGGGAACCCACCTGAGGATATCATCATCCAGCATGGACTTCGCAACCTGTACCGACGACGCGTCGTTTGGACCCTCGGTCCAGGGCTGCCGAGGGGATTTCGACTTCACACTCAAATTTGAAAAGATATTTCTCGCCATTATTCCAGCTGCCATTTTCATTGCACTTTCTCTACCAAGAATCGTTCAGCTACACCGCAAGCCAGGTATTGTTGGAGGTGTTATTTTGCGTTACTTGAAGCTGGTGAGAAATCCGGCTGCCAAGTGTGTCCCTGTTTGATCATGGGCTGACAGTTCTTTCTTTCAACAGATATCTATAGCCATCTACGGCATCTTTGTGTTCTGCCAGCTAGTCTTGAGCATTGCAAAATCACGGAAATTGGGCATATACTTCATTCCTGCCGACGCCTTGGCTCTCACATCTAGTATTTGCATGCTTCTACTCTCTTCCCTCGAACACACCAAATCACCACGTCCATCCATCTTCCTGAACGCTTATCTCTTTATCGCCACTCTCCTGGATATCTCGCAGACTAGAACCATATGGCTGGCATCCTCGAATCATGACGAGCTCAACTACGCTAGCATCTTCACTGTTGGCGTAGCTATCAGGGCTCTTCTTATTGTGCTCGAATCCCAATCCAAGTCAAGATGGATTCTGCAATGGGAAAAAGGTGCCCACAGTCCCGAGGAAACAGCAGGTCTCTACGGTCTTGGTGCATACTTCTGGCTCAACAAACTGTTTTTGAGGGGATATCGAGGTGTCCTCACCATTGATGATCTCTTCCCCTTAGACCATAATATCGCTTCTGCCAAGCTGTACGCTGAAGCTGGTCATAATCTCGAGGCTACAAAGCTGGGAAAGCGGCAGCACGGACTGGCAAAGGCAGTCATGAAAGCTTTGGCTGTGTCCTTTTTGTTGCCCGTCGGACCTCGTATTGCGTTCGGGGCCTTCCAGCTTTGCCAACCTTTCCTCATCGAAACACTCCTGGGATACCTTGAACAGCCCGTCGAAATGAGTCCGAAGAACATTGGATACGGATTGATCGGCGCGGGACTCCTTATCTATGTCGGTATGGCAGTGTCATCAGCTTTTTACTGGTACTTTCAAGAACGCGCCATGTACATGACCCGCGGCCTACTTGCCGCTGCCGTGTACAGAAAGACAACCGAAGCCAGAATCTCAGCTGCCGACGATTCGGCCGCCCTCACCTTGATGAGTGCCGATATCGAACGCGTTTTGGTCGGATGCTTGGAGATGCACGAGTTTTGGGCCAACATGGTCGAGGTCGTCTTTGCCTGCTGGTTACTGTCCAGGAAAATCGGGGTTGCCTTCACCGCCCCTGTCATTATCGTCGGCGTGTGTGTTGTCTGCTCCTTCTTCCTTGCCAAGCTTACTGGCCCTAGGCAAAAGGCTTGGATGGAGAGGATACAAAAGCGAGTAGGGCTCACCACGAACATGATCACACAGATGAAGCACCTCAAGATATCTGGCCTCTCGGCTCCAGTTGAGGAGTCGATTCAGGCCATGAGGGTGGACGAGCTCGGGGCTGGGGCAAGATTCCGGATCGTCCAGGTTTATGCAGCGGCAGTGGGTTACACTCCGTTGTGCCTTTCCCCTGTTGTAACCTTTGCCTTTGCCTCCAGGACATTAGATGTGACTACGATCTTCACGTCCATTTCCTACATTCTGCTGTTGGCCAACCCTCTGGGATCACTGTTCCAGCATATCCCAAGTTTCCTGGCGGCCTTGACGTGTCTGAATCGCATTCAGACTTTTCTGGCACAAGATTATCGCACCGACTTTCGCGAGTCCGAGATCCTTATGGACCGCAGTGCCAGCTCACCCACGTCAAAGCTGAGTTCGGAAAGTGTTGAGGTTCACGCCGACCCCGGCCTTGAGATCACGGATGGCAAGTTTGGTTGGGACAACGACAAAACTGCTCTTCATGATATCGATATCCGCATCCCACACTCCAGTTTGACCATCGTCATTGGGCCCGTGGCTTCTGGCAAGTCGACGCTCTGCAAAGCTTTGCTGGGCGAAGTGCCTGTATTTGGAGGTAAACTTCATGTGGCAAGCCGCTTCCGCAAAATTGGGTATTGCGACCAGACCCCTTACCTCTCGAACGCAACAATCAGGGAGAACATCATTGGCTTCGACGCCTTCAATCAAGAACGATTTGACGAAGTCGTTGAAGCTACCGTGCTTCGCCAAGACCTCGAACTTCTGCCCCAAGGTGACGAGACCAATGTTGGAAGCAACGGGATATCCCTGAGTGGAGGACAGAAGCAAAGGGTGTCGATGGCCAGAGCTTTGTATACGGACTCGAAGTTGTTGGTTTTTGACGACATTCTCAGCGGCCTGGACGCTGACACGGAGGAACAAGTGTTTCGCCGTGTCTTCTCCCCGGATGGCTTGTTACGTCGGAGAGGAGCTACAGTTGTCCTTTGCACCCACTCCATCCGACACCTACCATCGGCAGACCATATCGTCGCACTGGGTTCAGATGGCAGGATTGTCGAGCAGGGGACCTTTCAGGAGCTGATGAAGAATGACATGTACGTCAACAGCTTGGGTGTCCAGGAGTGCGATGCCGCAAGCTCGAAGGAGGATTTGGCAGTACAGGAAAAACCAGGTCTGAGCACGACTCTGAAGATGACCCCGAATAAGGTCACAGCCTTCAGCCCAGAAGCGGACAAGACGAGGGCAACGGGCGACTTTACGATATACCGGTATTATCTCGCTCGCCTCAACCTCTTTGGCGTTATTGTCTTGATCATGGCAGGCTTCGGCTGGGGTTTCTGCATCAACTTCTCCACAATCTGGCTGAAGTTCTGGTCAGAGGATGTCGCATCGCCTCAGCCACAGCGGTCCAATGCGTTCTACAATGGATTATACGCGCTTTTCCAGTTGGGTGCACTGATGTCTCTGTTCCTTTCGGCTTTGGTGGTCTTTACCTCCATGATCACAATATCAGGGGCTAGACTCCATCTCGAAACGCTTCGAACGGTCATCAACGCGCCTCTCAAGTTCTTTACGACAACCGATACTGGTATCGTGACCAACTTGTTCTCACAGGATATGACTTTGGTCGACGGGCAGCTTCCCATGGCGCTTGTCAATCTCATACTGTACATCTTCAACTGCCTCGGAATGGCGGCAGTGGTTGCTACGGCGTCCCCTTATCTGGCCGTTGCTTACCCGTTCCTGGCGGTGGTCTTGTACGGGATTCAAAAGTTTTATCTGCGGACGTCGAGACAGATCCGATTGCTGGATTTGGAGGCCAAGAGCCCGCTGTAGTAAGTACCCCCCCCCCCCCCCCCGTGCGCGCGTTGAGGATGAAACCAATCTTGACTATGAATAACTGACATTGATGTTTAATAAGCTCCCACTTTATCGACACGATCAAAGGTCTCGCTACATACCGCGCCTTTGGCTGGGTGCCTGAGTCTGTCAAGAAGAATGACATCCTCCTCGACACTTCTCAGAGACCGGCGTATCTCCTAGCCATGATCCAGCGCTGGCTGGCTTTTACGCTGCAGATTGTTGTTGCTGTGCTGGCAGTGGCGGTGATCACCCTGTCGACGCAGATGCGCACGAATACTGCGTTTACTGGAGCCAGTTTGGTGACGCTGATGATCTTTGGGGAGGCGTTTTCGTACATTATCAGGTTTTACACGATGTTGGAAACGTCGATTGGTGCTGTCAGTCGGTTGAAGGCGTTTGGGGAGACGGTTAGGAGTGAGAATAGGGAGGGAGAGGATTTGCTGCCGGGGGAGGAGTGGCCCGCCACTGGGGATACTAATAAGACAGTTGTCCTCTACTTACAGTCATGATAACTATATAATTGTTTCTAGGTACTCTATAACAAAAGAATATTGGAGGTAAGAGTTAAACAGTAAGATAAAGGAATAGATTTGTTTCACATCCTCACTGATCATGTTTCTGTAGTATGCATCGAACCCTATAAATAAATATTCAATTATCGATCTATTCTTTTTAAGTAGATAATTTTAAATTTAC